GGTGTATACAGTACCCCCCCTTGTTGATGTGGTGCCACTCGGCTTTTTTTTTGCTTGATGGCGACCTTAACGGCCGTGTGTATTCGTATATGGGATAAATAGGTGGTATGAATGCGCTTGCTTGAATATCGAATAGAATATACCTTTTCGTCGTTATCGAACCATAGGTATTGTAAAAAAAAAGGTTTAAAAATCGGCTTAGTCAGACTCAATACGATCTGAAGTGATTTGCTTACCGACCATTGTCTTAGTCATGTATTATTCATGAGACCATAATTCTTCTCATTGGTTGAAATATCGAAACCATCGTAACTTCTGTTTCGCCATCTTATGATTCCGCTATGACCACTACATTTCTTTCTAACACCTTGTAGGGATAAAAACCCTCACAACTTGAATGATGATCTAATCATAAAGTAAAGTCCATGTTAAATTCAAATAAAAATGATTAGAACTTTGTCTCATCAGTTCATCTAATTTATTCCATCTACATCTGATCAGAGTTAAAACAAGGTACATACTTGGGTCCCCCCCAAACAACCCAATTGATCAAACTCTTCAGGGTAGATCTTTTCTAAAAACCCTTACAAAAATTCTCCACTAAATCTCGATGACATACCCGATACAGTCCAAGCCGTGCATCGATGAAATTTAGTTTAGGTTTAGCTCTCACAAGAAGTGTCATCATCACGACTTGTCTAGAGCGCACTTTTACCAGGATAGAAAACTTTAAATTCATAGACCCTGTCTTATCTTACTTGGCCAATTCTCCCCTCACGAGACCACATACCATACCGGTACCGATATTCTCTACTCGATGACCAGTGTCAGAGATGTGAGAGAAGAGATATCCTTGAGCCTGGTAGAAAAAAGACCCCTCACCTCAATATGTGGGTTATGGAATCAGGGTTCTCCATGAAATTATTTGCCATCATATACCGGTTTGTCGATCGGCTTTGCTTGCGTGATGTCATGAGGGGTTGAGATTTCTATGTTAGAAATTTGATTATGTTTGAAGTTTCTTTGGGGTAGGGGTAAGATTATTTTGGGTGGGGAGGAGGGGCAGAACGTGATGATTAGGAGGTGAGGATAGATACCTAGGTAGATAGTAGTATATAATTTTGGAGTAAGAAGCCCGTCAATCGAGAATTCAAGTCTAATCAATACCTTCCATCCCATCTCCGTACCTATGGGAACACTCTCTTCACCTTCATATACTCAGTCTCATCTAAATCCAATTTACGGCATCACGTACCGGTATATCCCCATCCGGAGAATATCAATGGCTAAATACCCTTGTAGTAAGTATTTTCTTACCTTTCCAGCAGACGCCTTCGCCAAAATCACACATCACTCAAAAACTTTGAGGGTCGAAGGAAGGAACTCCAAATGCTAGCTAGCTAGCTGCTGCTAGGTACAGTAGATACAAGTGCATGCGCGTGTTCAGTATCCTCGGGTTCTGGTTTCTATCGGTACGTTGGATAACCCTTACAGTATCTAGATTAGCGTCCAAGCTTCTTGTTCCTGGCTGATGGGGCAAATGGGTAGGGACTCGGGAGGGGTAGATATCCATAATCCATCTCATAGAATAATTACCCTTCTAGCATTAGTCTTGCATTTATTGACACCCGGGCTAGAGTGACTACCGTTCCTTGTACACAAGTACCCATGGGCTCGGAGGTTTTCTACCAAGATTTGGGGTATGCATTATTTAGTACTTGTATGATTGTACTAGGTAGGTAGGTATATGCTCGTACTGAGTTTCTATATGGGTATGGGTAGGCATTCACTTATTACCTAGGTAGTCTTCAGGTTATCGAATAAGGCTCATATTCAAAAGTCGAGTACTGGTAGATTAATTATAGGATCAACCCTTTAAATTGCTAATAGGCGGACAGGTTCCATAATAGAATCAATTACTAATACAGTAGTAACCAATCATATCATGAACATTCAATAACCCCCCAAAAAGTTAAAATCAAAGGCAAAGAGATACCGGTATACAGAGATATCGCTGCTAGGACTTCTTAGTAGATATCCCCAACTCATCAACATTGTATAATAGCAGTTGATAAACATCCCCCTCCATCCCCCTTCATCCATCTTCCCAATCTCAGAACCCAGAACCCATAACTAAGTGTAACCCAACTCCATCTCCGATCCAAAAAATGGCTGAACTATAAAAATCATGGCGTGGCAAGGCAAGGCAAGAAAAAACACAATCTAAATCATGGTGTTACAAAATGTGGCAAAAGCTTAAACCTACGATCTGCTACATGGAGATGTGAGTGCGAGGCGGAGGAGGCTCCGTGGCCTCCTATCGTTTCTTATTGGTTGGTGCGCGAGTTGTGTGTGTTACCGTGACTTGTGAAATACTTTGAGATTTTTATTTTGGGTGATAGTGTTGCGATTGTGAGTTGGGGTTTTTTGAATAGAGATGTGTTTATACATATACAATTTGCTATGTGAGAGGTTTATTTACTAATATTTTATTCATCTTCACATGTAGTTTAAACAAAAAAAGAAAACGAGGACCCTTATTCTAGTAAACCCCGATCCGGTATCATCCAGGTTATCGATTGACATGTATGATATGTATCCTCGGACCATAATAAGGTTATGGAAAAGGTGTAACAAGTGCATTCAATCTCCAAACCGATACTCGAGTATTCAGGCTCAAACCCAACCTACGGTCACACCAAACCGCGGAGGGAGGAGATATCTCCGATGCAGACTCGAATGCTTTTACTGACATCCTGTGATTCTCATGTGGGTAGATTCATGGGGTAAGAATGGAATGGCACGGCGGTTCGCGATGGTGGTTTGCTGCTTGATGAGGTTGAGGCAGGCTTACTTGGTTTTTGTGATGGGGATTGAAAACGCCCCAGATGTTATTCCTTGCTGATCTGACCGGTATAGATAGGAATGGGATGGGATGGGATGGGTTTCTTGTGCTACGTTTGGTTTGTATGGAGGGTTCAAGGGATGAGGGGATAGATGGATGGATAGATAGCCATATGTAGTACAAAATAATATGTGGGACGAGAAAAGCTCGAGGCCGTCTGAGAAGCACGGTACCGAAGTGGGAAATGTGAGATGTGATAAGAGTTCGGGATTGTGAGGGAGCCCGCCTTTCGGTACGAGGACCCTTTGAATTTTATTGCAAGAGAAGTGTTTTAGGTGAGGAGAGTGGGGTGGGGTGAGGGGAATTACTCAATACGGGTATGAGGATGATGATAATGTATGTACAGTAAGTAAGGTTTGAAACTTTTTAGTGGGTAGATGTCGGTACTCGAGTAGAAGTATGCACAGCAGATCTAAGGGTCTGGCTATTGATAAAATATATACCTAGTATATCTACATTTTTATTCCGGTGGGAGGATATGACAAGGGTTGGGTTGGGATCTAAAGGCTAAAGATAGAGAGGGAGGCGAAAGTTAGATGGGAAAGTTTAAATGCAATTCTTTAAAGTGGGTTACGAATACGCCAAGTTTGATTACCCAAAATAATGGTTGATATTCCGATAGGATAAAAATTGGCTTTTTAAATGGGCGTCTAGGTCTTTTAGTATCAACCAAAAGTTACCTAGTAACAACTACCCCTCATCCTCAAATATCAAGGAAACCTGGAATTGATTTGCACATCGCAAACAAGGTATCGTAGAGTACTAAGTATTCCAAAGGAGGAGTAAATAATAAGATATATATATGTTTCCTTTCCCCCCTCCCATCTCTTCTATGTTAAACCTATAGATCTCGTTTGGGGAAGGAAAGAAACTATGCTGTACAACATGTGTTGTACATCGTGGGCGCAGTGATAACCAGGGTAGGTTTCCTTGGTATGCAACTTGGAGTATGGATGGAGTATGGAGTATGGAGTTATGGATGGAGATGCTGTATTGTCACGGTAAAGGACAACAGCGTATAATTTTATTTACTCGAATAATTACTATCTAGGCTTTCTTAACGAATCAATTTGTATATTCATACTCGTATACTCGAGTATAATTATATAATTATCTAATAACTGACGATCTAAATGCTTTAGTCTAGATTTACCCCCAGTCTAGTCTCGATATTTTGCTCATTATCCTGACTCGAATCTATCTATTTTAGATAAAGATATATATATACTAGGTAATGTACTATATCATCTATCTTCCATTCCTTCCCAATACCCTAGTCAAAACTTTCTTTCCTTTTTCCTTTTTCCTTTTTCCTTTTACCCCCCACTCACACCCTACCTAGTACCTAGTTATGACCCCTTCATTATTTATTTATTCCCAGTCATTATCCACATTATAAAAAATAAAAATCTCACAACATCTGCTATTCAGGCATACCGATATTGGGTCCAGGAAAGGGACCCATGTGTAATTAGCCCTAAAGCCAAATTCCCATATCTTTCTGAAGAATCCCATCTTGATCCCGATTACCCCCTCCCCTCTCTCTCTATCACATTTACTTACATCCTAATGTCTTGATACTACGAGATTATTTCTCCAATCTTTCTATCACCACAATACCACATAAGAAATATATTTGATATCAATAACTATCATTTCTATTACAATCATATCATATCATTGGAAACATTATTTCTTCCTTCACGGCGGTACAATACCCATACCATCAATCCTAACTACCTACTTTTTCGCTACTTCGTCATCGGATTTCTACTCAAAGCTTTCGGATAATCCTTATCATCATCAACCAAGTTTTGAAGCAAATATACTTACTTCACTTACTTCTGTATCTAATACTTACAAAACATTCTTATTTACATTTTTGTAATTGAGAACCCTTCGACATTCAATTCAACTCAATTCAATTCGATATAATTATTGTATGTATCACAGCAATTCGCTTCCTTTACCCTCGCCTCATCTCACTTCACCTCGCATGTGCTCGAAGTTGCATATTGAGAAACCAAATATAATTCTTTAATTGTTTACTAATTGGAGTTTCCAATACAGTTTGCACACCACTAAATCTATCTCAATGTCGCCCTTACAAAGACCTCTTTTGCAGGGTAGAGATTCTTCGGGGAACGAAGTTTCTTTACTCAATATCACTCAGGAAACGGAGGCATCTCCATATCCTGTATCACAAGCACAACCAGAACAATCACTACCATCATTTTTACACTTCGAGAAAGGAAGACCAATGTTTGTCTTAGGAGGACCACGCGCCGCACCCCCCATGGTTCGAATCAATTCGAATATATCAACTACAAGCACTACATCTGCACCAAGTTTGTTGCGTTCGAATTCTTCCAATTCTTATGGTACAAATGAAGCTCAATCTCCGATTACACCCACTTTCACACCCACTGGCAACGCTCATGGAAGAAGTTACTTTTTCCCACAGCAATATGAAAATGAAAATCCTTACTTTGAGCACAATTCCATGGGAGAATTTCAACCCAACTCCTCTCTAGCATCCATCACTCAAATGGCAATGCAATCCAACAACATGCAACAATACCCCGAACAACAACACTCCATACAGCATCTTTTTCATGGAGGACCACACCATGGAGTCACTAACCCCGTTCCGGCCAAAAAACGTTACTCATGTAAATACAAGGTCGAATATCAATGCGACAGAACCTTCACTACATCCGGCCATGCATCCCGACATCTCAAAATTCATACTGCCGAGAAGATGATTCCGTGCATTTTTCCTAATTGCGAGAAGAAGTTTACCCGGAAGGACAACATGAAGCAACATCTAGAAACCCATAGTAGGCCGAGATCTAAAGGGAATCCACTGCTCACAAAGCCTGCACGAGTGCAGAAGAACAACAAATCTAAACTCAGAATCGCATTCCCTTCTCAAATGTTAGCATCGGTGATAGCTCCATTGAATTTACGAGACCATGAACATCAGCTCCAATACCAATATCAAATCCAACCCCATGGATATCAGCTCCAACCCCAAGAACATCAACTCCAACACCATCCATCCGCGGGTATGGCGCAACCATTACCATCGAATCATCAAGCAGGGCTCCCAATACTTACCAGAAGGGAAGGTCCAACCAGCAATCTAGACCTATTGGCAGATGCAGCATTGAATTGACGTGCATACGGGTTTTCCGAATTTGGATGGGGATGGGAACGGCGATTGGGATTGGGATGGGGATGGGGATGGCGATTGGGGTTGAGATTGAGCTTTGGATTTGGAGTTAAGGATATATACTATTGGAAAATAGGAAAACAGCATAACAGGATAATAAGTTTTTAAAAATGATGTGCTTTATATATACGTTTATGTGGTGAGAACAGTGAGGTGAGATACTGAGATGGAGATAGCAATGAATGCTAGAAACCGGTAGAAGAAACTTTTCATCTTCCCGAGTTTCTTCCTGATTGACTTGACTTGACTCGCTAATTGACTAATTTTCTTTCATTTTATTTTATGTTCAGGAGTTCGTTGTAGTGGGGGAAGTGGGGAATGGGGGGAGCGGTGTACTGTACGAGTATAGTAAGTAGGTGGAGTGTATGTGATTGTTAGGAGGATGAACTGGAAGGAAGAGAAGGAATGGTATTTTAAACGTATTTCTTATTCATTTGTTTATATGTATATATATATATTCTTGAGATATTTGTTTGTGTATCGTTGATATGTCTACTTTACTTCAGCACTTTATATTATTGTGGAATTTTGTGAATTTGTTGACTTTGTGGAATTTTGTACAGGTGACTCGGATGGTTTGGCGTGTTTGTAGTATAGTATAGTATAGTATAGTATGGTATAGTACTTGATTGAGTGAGTATATAGTGTATATGGTTGATGGGTTTTGGTTGGTTGATGGGTATTGGTATTGGTGTTGGTGTTGGTTGGTATTGGTTGGTATTGGAGCGGTGGGGTGGGGGAGGAGAGGAGGGGGGAAGATAGGAGAGAGAGAGGTCAATGATGAGTGTTGGGTGCTGGGTGCTAGTGGAATTATATGGGGAGTTGATGGGGTGATGGGGGTGATGGAGTAGTGAGATTGGAAATGGTAATGGAAATGGATATGGATATGGATGGATAAAACATTAGCAATAGAAGCTGGGTACGAACATACTAGCGCTGAATTGAAGCAACTGTCAATTCTTATATCAAGTGTTTGAAGACGGTGGGAAAGTTCTCTAAAGAATCAAGATACTTCTGGGAATATAGAAGTGGTTGTAGGTGTATTTGTGTAACCGCTTTCTTAAGAAAGCATTTTCGACTTGAAGGACTGGCGGTCTTTGGACTGTTTTGATGGAGGGTCAATGTCGAAATTTTAGTTTGGGGTCGGCGGGTAGTAGTAGAGAGTATGAAAGTCCAAGTTCTTGCAGTTTGGAGTCCTGGACATGTAAGCTATTTATATGTAATAGAATGATTGCCAGGGGAAATTCGGGCTACTACTTTGTTTATAGCGAACATAAGAGTCTTGACAAGGGTAAGGGGAAAGGAATGGGATATATTTTGTCAGAAGACTCTATCTTGTGCTTAATAAGGTATCAATGAAGGATTTGATGAGAATATAGAGTTAGATGAAGAAAATCTACAAATATTTACTATCAAATTCGCAATGCTCTTCTGAAGCTTTGGAGAAGTCTCGTTCGATATCCGTTTCAATTCTAAATAATCCAATTCAGAATAACTCTTCTCACCATACGAGGAGATCCCCTCTATCTAGTACAAAGTCATTTGTTACATGTCTATAACAGTTTTCTGATATTTGTATATAAAGACTTTAAAACCTGGATAATACTCGAGTAGTACTATGGTCCTATCTGCTACACGTTATATACTTACTGAGAAAATAAGTATCATATATTTATAAAACAAACTCGAAGGCCTAGACAAGACTTCTTCGATATTCATGTTCAAATCTTCAAATTTAAATTAATACTATCATCTTATCTCTCCTTTTTTTGAGTTTATTCAAGTACTATAATATACTTCTATTTATTAGCTGATACTGATGCATGAAGCCCCTTTACGTAAGCGACCCATAAGACAAAGTGGCAGGAAGATATGAAAATGACTTCTAATTATTTGGGTAAAGATTCCTATACTCCTATACTCGGAGTAAGCCAAAAGAGTATTGAAAGAAAAGAAACATGAAGATAAAATATACAAAGGATCTGTGATATGGTACCTAGATCTAATTTAAGATCAGCTAGGCTGGGTCGATATATCACAGGTATTTTCAAATTATATTTCGGTCATCATGAATTATTGTTAGTAAAGATCTTGGTAACTGCTTGGGTAACTTTGATGATTGATTTTAAGTCTGACTTTCATAGTATCTCGTTGTAGAATGTTTTATCTACAGAAGAATGATCTGTATATGCTATAAAGATTTGATAGTGATGTCGTTTAAAGTCAGGGGTGATTAGTTTGTTGAACATCTGATTGACTTTGTGCAGGGATCGGATTTTCTTTGGAATAAATATACTTTTTGTTGTCAAAACTTATTGTCTCTTGTCTACCAATCTATAATGTTTAGTTTTAATCAATCTCCATCTTGTTTAGGATTACTATGTTGTTGTCACACCTTCCAAAACTTGTAAATATTCATTATTTTCTAATGACAATAAAATAGCACATTTTGACACAACTCTAACGATGATTGTTTAATGTTTAGTTCGACATTTAGATCTTACAATTATATAGCTTCAGACTTGTATAAGCTCTTTACTTATTTTTACAATCAAGAACTGATAGCTCTAATCTCAGGCTAGGTGAAGAAATACCCAGCTAGTTGTCAATATTTGATTCTATATTGATATGTTATCAGCTTAATATTTGCGCTTTGTATACAATGGTTAATGATCGGTATTCAAATAATGTTTGAACATTCTAGTGATTGTTCTTGGAGAAATAACTGTAGGGAACTTCAGTGATTTAAAGATATAAATGTTATCTCATGAAAGATATAAGATGTATGGTAAAAATCATTCATTGGTAGTATTAAATATTACCAGTAGTATGACCGGAAGCTCCAAGTTTGTACAAAAGAGTTGATTATTGATATACAGAGATATTAGTAATATCGTCCAGAGAAATAGGACCTGCAAGAGACATTTATACATTAATATCTGATATATCAACATTATCGATTGAAGTCCAGGGGTTAATCTCAAACAAATAGAGTCAAATCCCATATATATCTAGGAGACTGATGATATATTGTTTCAAAAAGCTATGTCCCATAAAGAAAGGCCACTCATCAATACCAAGATACTAGAGTTATCGATTGAGGTTCAAATATGAATGTTAGTGAAGTAAATCTAGATGTCAAGTAGTTCGAAGACTTTATTAGATATTAATTACAAAATATGTGACAGCTGTTCACTCATATTTGAGCTAATTAGATGTTGTATAAACACAATCTGACGTCTACAGGATGAGTATTCATCCAGCCTCAAATAGATCAAAGGCATCATGATGTATCGCCATGAAAGAGCAAAAAGAAATGAGTCAATTGTTCAATGATGCTAAAGAAGTAGATATATCAATCAATGTCTAAAGACTAATATAATCATCACACAACCACAAACTTCAAGTATATCAAAGACATTCATCGTACTATCATCTCTACTTCCCCAAACCAGATACAAACACACACTCCCACCAGTAGTTTCTGAGTCACATGATGAAGTCAAAATTACTCAACTGTCCCCCTCGACCAAGCATATCCGGTAAGCGAGTAAACCTCAACTCTTATTGGGGTAAAAATTCGGATCTGTCCAACCAGGTACCTATTTTGAGTTTTCTTATTACCTTGCTGCAGTTCTTGATTTGTTTTGAACTCTTCAGCAACAACAAAGATTTCAAACTTCGAGTTTTTACTCGGAATATCCTTGCTTTCTCTCGAAATCATTTGTTCCTACTGTGAAATTTCTCTGCCGTCTTCTTTCGCTGTTTTTGCTGTGCTTCTCTTGCTTTTCCTCTGTCTTTTGCGTTCCCTCTGCCGCTGCGGTCTTCTTTGTCGCTCTCGCCGCGTCTTGCTTCTGCTACAATGGCAGATACTCAGACGTAAGATGGAGCTCTTGGGTTCATTCAATCTGCGCGACGTTTTATGCTGCGTTTGAAGGTTCTAACCATTTTCTTACACCGTACTAATTCTTCTGTTATTTAGCCAACCCTCTGCTGGTGCTGCTGGTACTACTGGAGAAGAGCGGGAGTACGTATTATTTTTCTTTTTCAAGCCAATTACTCGGTTTGTCAGATTGTACAAGTCAAATTGAATTAACCCTCTGTTCTCAATACCTCATATATAACCACACAATTAAAATTAACTCTACTCTTCTTATAGGAAGCTTCAACCTCAACAAGTCCGATGTATGTGCGCGCGGTGCGTACAAAGAATGGTTGTCGATCCTTTCTCGCTCTGCAATCTCGCTCCACCCTCCAGAGTCGCCAACGCCGACACTTTGTGCAACTACTGTCACATCCAACGTGGCCGCTGTTGGAAATTCCCTTTGGCTCTCCAACCCCAAATTCTCGAGCTTCAGAAGCGCGCTGACGAATTCCACGATTGGCATTGGGCCAATAGTATTCTTCCCCCTGCTCGTCGGAGCCCATGGGTTTTACCGGCGGACCCCCCCGGCGGTTTATACTGTCTGGCCGGCTCATACGCCACAGGCGTATAAGGACTTACATGCTGCTCAAAGAGTAGTGAAATTAGGGGTTTTGCGGGCGCAAAGGGCGATTCCGGGGTGGAGAGGAATGACGGAGATTCAGAAGAATAATCTTCTGAAATTAGATCCTGTAGTTAGAACGGGTGGACACCATGGCTATTGGGGGTAGATGGAAGTAGAGAAGGCTTGGGAACCTGTTTGAAAGTTACCTAAGGGGACGAGACGAGGGGGAGTAGTAGGCTTGGGAACCTGTAAGTTACCTAAGGGGGCGGACGATTGGAGTAAAGATGGAATGGCTTGGGATCCATAAGTACCTGTAGAATAGACGAGAAAGATGGATGGAGGGATAGATATGAGTTTCGTAGGGATGCGGAGGTGGAAGGCCAGCAAAGACGAATCTCTGTCCTGTACGTGGCGCTGGCTACGAACCTGGGTTTAACTTACTTGTACTTGCCGGCATCTCATCAGCTCCAAGCTGTAGTAGTTGTTCTTGTACCGAGTAGTTATTACCCAGAGCCGAAGAGATAGCATAAGGTAATGTATGAGCTGAGGATTATAAAGTACAAGGACATAGAAGAAGAGGATAGAGGCGAATAAGAGCGGAGAAAGGAAAGGTGAAAGAAGAAAACGCTGGATTGTTCAAGAGATACCCCAATCTTTCATGTTGCGTTGCTGCTTGGAATTGAAATTGGGAGATTGATGATTGCGAGTTTAGAAAGGAGGAAAATGAGTAAATAGGGAGCGAATAGGTTTATGGAAAGAAGAGAGCGGTGTGGATAAGGGGGGACTTGTATGTATGATGGAGTGGAAATTCTCTGAGGATCTCTGAGGAGTTTAAGATTAGCATGAGAGGAGGCATTGATGTCTTTTTGAGAAGCATTTATTTCTCCTGGGGAGAAGAAGAAATACGTGCAAAACGAAACATCTTAATTTATAGATGCAGCCTGCACATATCTCGGTGTAGTATGACGAGCGAGGTTACACGGCCTCATAGACAGTTCCACGGTTTATTGTTTCAAGCTCCGACCTCACATCTGACAATGTAAGATAGCAGCTCGCATCATGGTCCAAGATATGGAGGTGAATCAGATGCAATGATTATGTATCTATCTATACATGAAGAAAGCAAACATGTCAAGTGTTCTACCTCAATTGGTATGTCCTACTATAACTTGTACCTGATGTACCTACCATTCACCGCTAACTATAGGATATCGTGAAACTATATCACGGCCCCGATCGACTCTGCCGCATATGCTCAACACTCAACTTGGAAACACTTTTTCGACCAGCAGATTTAGATTCAAAACGTCAAGAAACTTCACCTCCCTTCATCCTCGGGGACTTCTGGGCCACTTCCGTTTACTGCCCATTTTGTCGCTTACTACGTCAGTTTCTTGGAATAGATGAAAAAGCTGCTAGATGTGATCAAAGCCTGATTTAAAGAGGAGGAACACGTTGAATTTTTTTACATCTCTCCGAGAGAATGGGTTAGACGTTTGTTAGATTGGTCTCCCAGTCTTTATGTGACATTTCAGCTACAACCATCCTTGATTATCGACGCTGATTTTCATGATGGCAAGTTTGGTATTCAACGTTTTATGATCCTCGTATCCAGCTGATGGCAAAGGGAGATGAAATGACTTAGATCGGCTATCGTTAGGTCGGCACATGTATCTACCGAAAGCGGACACCCAAATTGCCAAAAGGTTGGATTGGTGGCTGTGAGACGCATCATGCTCCTAACTATGCTCTTAAAACCTCGATACGAGAACCAAAAAGTCCCTTTAGTATGATTGATGTCAAGCATCGATGCATTATTCGTGCCCCATCTGAAAGCAGATATATTGCCCTCAGCTATCGTTGGGGCCCACCGTCGGATACAAACAAGCACCTTAAACTTGAAGACAAAACTATTTCATGGCTGTAATGGAAAGGATTCGTTATCGGATAATCAAAATATATACCCAAAACTATTCGAGATACTATCGACCTTACTTTTGACATCGATGAAAGATATCTTTAAGTCGATGCCTTATATATGAAATAAGACGACGAACATGACAGAGCTACGCAGATCCATCTTATAAGCAAGGTATATGGAAGCGCTGTATGTTCCATCGTTGCTGGTTCCGGCTCTAATGCATGGGCAGGTCTGAATGGAGCTGGGATTGAACCAATATCACTATTACCAAAGCAATACTGTGCGAAAGTACAAGATCTTTGTCTTATAACAACACAGAAACATTACCAGACGTGGAAGCACGAATCAGTGTGGGAAACATAGGGATGGACCTTCCAGGAGATGGTCTTGCCAAGAAGACTAATGGTCTTCGCAGATTCACAAGTGTATTTCCAATGTAAAATAAGTCTGTGGTGTGAAGATGCCATCCCCGAAATTCTAAATCCCAAAGTTACACGCGAGAGCAAAGCATCCGGTGATATACGTTTGGAGAGCCATCTGTATTGATATGGATGCTTTCACCTGCTACGTGGGACTAGTGTTCGACTATCCTCGTCATTCACTGGGAAATCAAATTGAGGCCATGAATACTTTTCGAGGTATACAGCAACATCCTCAAAATCGTAGCCTCTACTCATTGCATAAGAGCTTAAACGGGGAATTTCATTTCGAACTTCCGGATCTCTGTTCGATTTAGCTATGATTTGGACACTTCCTTACCATTGCCTAAATTAAAGACGAGAATACTTCCCAAGCTGATCATGGGTTGGCTGGAACATGGATGTTGGGAAAACTTTTCGTCGTCCAGGTGTAACCTTCCCACATGCAAATGAGGTCCGTCGAAAGATATTTTGGTATAACCCAGCTGAAGAGGAATCAGCAAGGGAAGCATGACAAACCCTTATTCCTCATCATATATTTCTCAAAGCATCTCACAGTCTCCACTTTTAGACGAGAACAGCTTGCCTGTTAGTTGACCGATCTGGAAACGTAAAAGTGTACATCATTCCGATCCAGCTATACTCGAGAATGGGGATATGGTGATAAGGGACCCAGCCCGAGATATCCTAATCGGCACCATATCACTGACACGATTGTAGCGAGCAAACAAGCCAGATGAGCCTAATTTTATGGTCGTAGCCCGCGCGTGTAAGAATGAATATAGGCAGAAACAAATATGTTTTATGTATAATGCTTATACAATGTATGGACAATATTGCATATAATGTCCAAATGGTGGGTGAACCGGTGAAAGAGGATATTTGGGCGGCTTTGAAGACACAATGGAAGTTTATTTCCCTTGCTTGAAATGAATTGAAATGTACTGATCTGACAGAGAGAGAAGACGCTTCGGAGATGTGATGAGAAAGATGACACACTCATGGAGTCAATAGGGTTTTAACACGGCCGTGAAAAATTACATAGTAGGCTACCCTGATAATTTCTTTACCATACTCAAAGACCATGAGAGAAAGACATTCTTCTACATTTCAGTCGACTATCACGTTCCAAATATGCAAACAAATTTTGAGGGGGTGAGAATCGAGAATATTACACGCCAGTAAAGTAAATACGAGTGGTGTGATGTAGAAAAGTAAAACCAGTGTATGTATTCAAGTAGTAAACGACATAAAATGAAAAGTCTAGGAGTGGTATGAATGGAGGAGTTTGCGGTAGTACATATAAAAACGTAGGAGCAGTTTCCAACAACTCCACCCACCTACTCTTTCCTATTGAACTCACCTAGTAGAGCAAACCCTTTTCAAAAGCACTGTACTTACGGGTGAAAAGCACGAATAAACTGAACCAGATTTGGTTTGAGTAACAATCTAATATAAAGACACCGAATACGTACCGAACAAATAAACCATGTAGACACCATCCACCAGGCCATAAATACGGAGTCAAATCAGTCAGGAATTTGTTTCATGATTTTAGACATCTTACATTCTTGAATTCATTCTCGTCTTTCACCTAGCCCAGTCTCGACCGCTAAAAAAATGTTCTGCTCGCTCCGGTATTGTAGCACGCCTATCCCACCCTAGGTAAACGGGGGCAATTCGCCTCAAAACGCCATAGGAATATCCGAATAACTCCTGAATCCATCTTACAGCTTCAAATCTCCTCTTTCAAACCTTCCTACTTCTTCGGCAAAGCAGGTGGACCCATCTTTCCAACTCCAGAAGCAACCTTTTTGGAAGGAGGTGGTCCCATACTGCTATCACCTCCACTATTACCAACTTGAGTAAAAGTTCCACCCTTGAACCATTTATCTTCTTCTGCTGCTCTCTTTCTCTTCATTTCTGCCACTCTCTTCGGATCTACCAACTCTAATCCCTGTACCGGCGTAAAGGCCAAACTACTAGCAGTTCCTGCGCTCGCTCCAGTACTAGTACTCAATCCTCCTACACCCGATGCTCTTAACCCTTTACCTCTTAGATCTATATTACCAGCCGATTGACCGAATCCTCGGAGCGAGGAGGCCGAACCGCTCATAGGATTTGATGTACCCCAACCTTTGTTTTTGGCAGAAAGCTTGGCTTTGGTACGTTGATCTACTTGAATGTTTCGAATACGTCCGTCGTTGCTTTGTCCGATCATACCCATGCCCTTGGTTCCATCGCCGTTACCATAACCAACTTCTTTCTCTTCTTTTCCAAAGGCCATTCTGTTTTGTGCTTTCCTCAAATCTGTCATAGCAGTTGCGGCCTTAGCAAGTCGAGCACGTCGACCACCACGTTTACGTGCGGGTTTATCATCTGGAGCCGGCAAGGCACGGGCACCTTTATTTGGAGGTGGCTCGGTGAGTTTCTCGAGCCGAGTAATACATTGTTCTTTTAGTTCTTCACCCGTCGATCCGTCAGGACTATTATGGACGCGGTCAACTCGTGCGGCTAGAACAACTTTGGCAGAAACGATTCGCATAGCTTGTTTTTTGAGATCGTTAGGGATACCCTGAATAATAGGGGAGTGGTAGAGAAATCCTTGTTGGCGGACTCCGACATTGGTAGCGAAACCAGTTCCAGATGATTTATTGGAGCCTAGGGGTGGAAGATTACAGGCGGGAGTCTTGGCTAGGCCTGTTAAACCTCCGGCAAAGTTGAGTAGCTGAGCCGCCGTAAGGGATCCAATAAGAGCTGTAAGATTCGGAGCGAACAAGTTCATGCGTGATTGAACATAATCAGTCAAGGTCTTCTTCGCTCTGTCCAGTGCGAGTGTCATATCACAAGCGCGGAGCACTCTTTCGAGTTCATATGAAGACATTTCTCGACCCTTTGTAGTGGTTGCTTCGACCGTAACAATCATAACAGATGGACCATCCAGAACAGATCTTAGTGTAGCACCTAGTCGGTTATCCTTTGATGTTTGAAGTGTCTTGATATTTTCTGAATCCATAGGTCCATTTCCAATGATGGTGACGACCTTGGCATAATCCAAAGGATTGGTGACCAAGGTTTCCAGCTCCGGAAATCGAATCGAATAATGATCTCGTATGAATTTATGTACCAGGATGATTTCGCTATCGATAGATGTCGACAGAGTATTTGCTTGTGTCAACAAATGGTATTCTGGATTGTCTTCGACCGAGCCTACGAAAGTCGTTTGTTTATCGGGAGGTAACGATTGAAAATGTGCGATTTTCTGTCATATCCGGTAAAGAGTCAGGGCTAGGACACGAAAGAGTAGATGTAAACCATGGGTCTCCAAGTTAAAGAAAGGGGATAAGAGAGTATTACTAACCTCTAAAACTGGTTCCAATGTTTTCATCAAACCTGCCACACTGCGCACATCATCTACTCCACCAAGCTGCATCTTCTCAACCTTTGCTTTGGTCGCCTCCTCACCCTCTGTAGCATCGATAGCACCACTAGTCATTCCCACCATCTCATCGTCTTCGTCGACTGCTTCTTCATCGCCATCGAGCTCCATTTCACTCGCGCCTGAAAGTCCTACGGCGTTCCCATTCATGCTAATGGCGACCTCTTCTGGGTCAGCAAAAAGGTGTGCATTATCCTCTCCTTCACCTTCGGATCCAGAATCCTCAAAATCCTGCAATAATTCATCTGCGAGGGTCGACATCTTAAAGTGCTATTGTTCGTTTTGGTTTGCGCGTGAGGGTGTCCGGGGAAAATCAGGTTCGAGAAAGAGCCAAGCTCGGGGGTGCGGCCGCTAGCACACCTCTATCTTGATTACTAATCTTTATTTTTGATCATCGCGACAACCTTCAAGACACAACGTGAAATTGATTTGCGCCAACTGTTTCTTCAAAAGATGTCTGCCATCATGGAGTCAAGTCGTGGACCCCGAAGGTCAAGAATAAGGCCGCCAGTGCCATTCAAATCTCCGCAGAACAACTTCTACGAGAAGCTGTTGACCGTCAAGAACCAGGACTTCAAGCGCCAACTCAGCGGTTTGCTGATCTCGAAGAGCTCCATGAGTTCCAAGGCAGAAAGAGGAAAGAGTTCGAGGACTATGTGCGGAGGAATAGGATTAATATGAATAATTGGATGAGATATGCGCAATGGGAATTGGAACAGAAAGAATTCAAAAGGGCACGATCCGTTTTCGAACGAGCATTAGATGTCGACTCTACATCTGTCACCTTATGGATTCGATATATCGAGGCGGAGATGAAGTCGCGGAATATCAATCATGCCAGAAATTTGTTGGATCGCGCCGTCACCATTTTGCCTAGGATCGATAAGTTGTGGTACAAGTTTTGTTATATGGAGGAAATGCTTGGTAATATCCCTGGTACACGACAAGTCTTCGAGAGATGGATGTCTTGGGAACCGGATGAGGCAGCATGGAGCAGTTATATCAAACTGGAGAAGAGATATGGAGAGTTTCAGAGAGCTAGGGAAATCTTTCAACGATTTACTATGGTACATCCTGAACCAAGAAATTGGATCAAATGGGCCAGGTTCGAGGAAGAGTTTGGAACTAGTGATTTAGTCAGGGAGGTGTTTGGAACTGCTGTTGAAGCTTTGGGCGACGACTTTATGGACGAACGGCTCTTCATCGCATATGCTAGATTCGAGGCGAAGTTAAAGGAGTACGAACGTGCAAGAGCTATCTATAAATATGCACTAGATCGCATGGCACGATCAAAGTCTATTTCTCTGCATAAGGCTTATACGACCTTCGAGAAACAATTCGGTGATCGTGAAGGTGTGGAAGATGTAATTATTTCGAAGCGCCGGGTTCAATACGAAGAGCAGGTAAAGGAGAATCCCAAAAACTACGATGCATGGTTCGACTATGCCAGGTTGGAAGAAATCTCCGGAGATGTCGATCGAGTTCGAGATGTTTACGAAAGAGCCATTGCTCAAATTCCACCAACCCAGGAGAAGAGACATTGGAGGCGTTATATTTATTTGTGGATTTTCTATGCCATTTGGGAGGAAATGGAATCAAAGGATGTTGAGCGAGCGAGACAGATCTATCAAGAGTGTCTGAAATTAATACCCCACAAGAAATTCACATTCGCCAAGATCTGGCTGATGAAGGCTCAATTCGAAATTCGACAACAGCAATTACAAGCTGCGAGAAAGACTTTAGGGCAAGCCATTGGAATGTGTCCAAAAGACAAGCTTTTCAAAGGCTATGTTGAGCTCGAGATCAAACTTTTTGAGTTTGTAAGATGTCGCACACTTTATGAGAAACATATCGAATGGAACCCAGCCAATTGTCAAGCCTGGATCAAATTTGCCGAACTCGAAAGAGGTTTAGATGATCTGGAACGGACTCGTGCAATCTTTGAATTGGCAATTGGTCAACAAGTTCTAGATATGCCGGAATTATTATGGAAAGCGTATATTGACTTCGAGGAAGAAGAAGGCGAGTATGACCGTACTAGACACTTATATGAGAGATTATTGGAGAAGACAGACCATGTGAAGGTCTGGATCAGTTATGCACATTTCGAAATCAACGTTCCAGATGATGACGAGGAAGAGACTGAAGAGGATGAGGAGAAACCAGTCAGTGAAGCCGCAAAGATACGCGCAAGGAAGATCTTCGAGCGTGCTCTCAAGAGCATGAAAGATAAGGATCTCAAAGATGAGGTATGTTACACCCTTGATCCAGATTTTTTAGATCGATTTCTAACAATTTTACAGCGTGTTTCCCTCCTAAATGCTCACCTCTCCTTCGAACGTACTCATGGTACAGATGAAGATATTGAGAAAGTACAGAAACAGATGCCGAGAAAGACGAAGAGGAGAAGAAAGCTTGATGATGATAGTTACGAGGAGTATGTTGATTACGTCTTCCCTGCCGATGATGAACAGACGAAGAAATTGTCAAATTTCCTGGCGATGGCTCAAAGCTGGAAGCAAGCTGGTGGGGCGATATAGTGGTAGTGGATAGCAGATTGGAGAGTAATATGAATATTTGAACCGTTTCAAAAGATCGGGATAAACAAAATTGTGTATGTATACCTAGGGCGTCCGCGAAGGAAGTAAAATAAACTGATAGCACATAATTTATGGTACGTCTGAAGATATTATCGAACTTCTATTGCGTTTGTATTTCATTGGACTGTTCCTAGAAGTCTTGCATAATCCTACGATCTGAGAGTAGTCGGAAAAGTTTCCGGATGATTCAAAAATCTTACGAAGAGTTTTGTAAGATGTTTCCATTATCAAGAATTTGAAAAGTTCGGAGATATCCTTCTATTCATTATTTCCATTGCCCATCCATATTTACAGCTTCCTCTCCGTTGTACCTCCCATCCTTATTCATTCCGATAAAGCCTCCTACCTCGACCTCTTGACTATTATCAATAACTCGATAGCGCCTTCGCTCTTAATCTTGGACCGTACCACCATATACCCAACGGCGCTGGTATTCCAATCGCAATGGCTACAAACGCCAACGTACTATTTCCCCACCCATATCCCAACGCTTGATACATCTTCGGCGCAAACAAGGGAAATCCAAAAGCTGTTAAACTACGCAGAAATTGTGATGCAGCAGACGCTGAGCTTGTATGATCCGGGTAAGAATCGATTACATATGCTTACAATGCTTGTCCACCAATCTGCATACCAAAACACAGAACAAAAGCCTCAAGGTCGACGACTATCCAATGTGTATGCTTTTGGGCTGCCCATCCATATACGAAAAGTCCAATTGGTACAAGAATAGCTGGCGGGATCATAATCGGGACGCGAAATTCAGGCATTTCCACACCGTCAGCGCGTTCTTTCATTTTACGAAAAACGACATCTAACAACGGCCCTCCTATTTCAGCTCCAACTATTTCACCGAGACACATGGAAAGATAGTGGAGACCGCTTGTAGAGATGGATTCGTTATATTGTCCAGTCCAGATATCGAAGTAGGTAGATAGGGTAATGTAGGTAAGGCCATAACTGAACGCCGACAGACAAGCTTGGATCTGGATGATCGGATGGAACAGAAGTAGACGAACCGGTCTAGAAAGACTTCTCATCAGTACCCAGGAAACTGATCGTCCTTTTCCAAGTGCTTCTACCTCTGTATAATACTGCGGATTTCCAGTATTACGTCTTAGCTCTTCGGCTTCATGTCGAAGAATTGTCGGACCATGCGTTTCCCAAAAAAATGGGATGGATATTACGATCATCACGGCCTGAAAAATCGATGTCGACCAAAACATCCACCTCCAAGTTGATAACTCCGTAATATAACCACCAAGAATAGGACCAGCAGCCGCACCGAATAAAGGCAACAAAGAATAAATCCCTAACGATCTCCCTCTCTCCTCTGGCCTCCACACATCCCCCAAAACTCCACCTCCTAGCGCATAAATAGTACTAGCTCCAAGGCCAGCCATCAATCTCGCTGCGATCAATAACCCCTTCGTATGGGCAAATCCACAAACAATGTTCCATATCAGAAACCACATGTTGGTAGTATGTAATACAACGCGTCGTCCATATAACTCAGATAGAGGACCAATTATCAAGGGACCAAAGGCGGTTGCAAGCAGGTAAACGGACATGGCCATGACAGATTCAAGGGAAGTCATGTGGAGTTCTGAGGCCACGATGTGGAGTGCGGGAGCCATGATGGTGGAAACGGCAATTCGGTTGAAGCCAGTGGATGAGAGGACGGGCGTAGTGATCCATTTCCGGTAGGTAGGCCAGCATTTGGGGTTAATGGGATCATGAGGAGTGATGAATGTTACGAGATAATCGGCGTCTGCGGATGTGGTAACAACGGTTTCGGGAGCCTTTTCGGGATCAATTTTGGATTTCATGATTGAGAGGCTATGTCGTGGCAAGCGAGTCAAGTCCTCTTGATAGTTTACAATTGGATGAGATTGCTCGGAACGAATTAGAAAGCCAAGATTGATGAGAATTTATCTGATGATCTGATAAGATTATGTTATATATATATCCGTGTGATGTGTACTCGGGGAGCAAGCTTCCGGATCTGCCTATTCCGTTACAACAGTCATCAATCTCACGGCGGGGTTTTCAAGGGTTTTGACATAATCTTCGGACGACATGCTACGGTATCGGATACCAAAGCACTATATCAATGATACAATATCAGTATCCCCAAGGAAAACTATCCACCTTCCCGATGAAGGATAGATCATACCCAAAAACCTCTCTATCTTATACCATTGTGATTGCAATGCAATCCTATTTTAGATATCATATTTGTCCCTATTGGATCATTGGCCACAATTTGTGGTCCAAAGAACCCGGAGTAAATCGCACTCGAGTCTTGAATTGTATCCATCCCTTTCGCGTTCATTTTTTACATCTTGGCTTACACGGAATAAGAAAAATTGCATGTACGGATTACGGAGTACGGAATAGCAATCAGGCGCCAGGATCCACTTATGCACTATACTATGTCAAGAGAAGGGCGTTGCAGATGATAGAGGGTAATATAGTTCATAGGCATCCGAGAGATGATTGGACTTCGATTTACTGATTGATAAGATAAGATAAGATGGATCAGATATGATTAGATTCACTAATAAATCCTCAAAGTTATCTGATCTTCACCCTGTCGCCGCGCTAGGTAAGCATTCCGAGGTACGAATCAAGGCTACAATTACATCCACCAGCGATTATTGACACAGGATCAGGAGATTACGGCCAAACCGAGTATAAAAGGCTTCGAAATTAAAAGAGATATACATCGCAAACATCTTTTGACTTTTAAAGTTGGAAACCAGCGATTATTGACACACAGGAAATTACGTCCAACCTCAGTATAAAAAGGCTTCGAAATTGTAAGAGATATGCATCACAAACATCTCTTAACTATTAAAGTTGGAAACCCTCCCCCAAAAAGAACACATAATATATTTGAAACCTAACAATTAGACCGATCGAAATACCTTTCATCGGTCCTACAGCACTCGTAGATTAGCTAGTGCGATAGGATACGACTAGTTTGATGAGCTGACCAAAAGTTAACTTCAAACATACATCAAATCCGGTAAGCACGGAGTTTTCGATACCTCGTTAATCGTCTCCTTTTGGACCTCATGGGCGGCAAGTTTTCTTTTCCTCGTTCCTCTTCTCTTCGATGCCTTTTCAATAAATTTGGACTTTTAGTTGGGGTCGAAGGGTCCCTTTCCCCTCCTTCTTTCCCTCCTTTTTCATCTCCATCTTCTTCTTCTTCAGAAGAAAGATCAACTTCTTCAGAAGAAGAAGGATCAGGCGTATGATCATATTCATCAAACCCCTCACTTTCTTCTACTTCTTCCTTCTCGCTCTCGCTGGGAGCTCCCCCCTCTTCAATCCATTTGAGGTCCTCTTCCTTAAATTCTAAAGGGTCACCCGGCTTCGCCCAGTTTTGCAGCCCTCTAAACAGCAAAGGTATTCTTGCTTCAGCCAGAGGCCTGACTATTTCCCACAATTCAAATGCCGTTGGTCTCTTCTTTGCATCCATTACTAATGGCCTTCGAAGTTGTACACATAAGTCTGTGGAAAGATGTGCATCGAATTGCTTCCATATCGGCGTTACCGTGGGATATTTTTTCAAAACAGGCATCGGAGGTCTCTCCGGTAATGTATGTGAATGCGACAACATATACAATACAACCCCCGCGCACCAAACGTCATACTTATCGCTCATCCAAGTTCCTTCGGGTGGCGTCAACAACGCGGTTCCAAGTTCCGCCCAGCGAGATTCTCCGTGCGGCACAAATACAGCTTCTCCAAAATCCGCAAGCTTCACAGTTGGGTATGTGTTTGGCACCCCGGAGTCCTTTAGAAATATATTATCTAACTTGATATCAATCACAACGAGCTGGTTACGCCGGTGAAACTCCTTTTTTTGATTGTACTCGGGGTGGTCACCATGAAGGAATGCAAGAGCTTCCATCATCTGCATATAGACATGCCAAATGAATGCTTCTGGTAATGCTTGTACCTTGTATATGGGTGGCATTCCCTTCGGCAATCTCTTGAATTCAGCATCAACTGAACTCCTGGAACCAAAACGTGGTACTTCGTAATAGCTCTTTACGACATATTCCAAGGTACCCCAATCACAATACTCGAAGAAAAGTGCATGGGCCATCTCCGCTTCCCTCCCAATGATTTCTCCACCCCCTCGTAAATCGAAAAAAGCTTCTAAATTGCAAATGAAAGGATGACTAGAACGAATATGTTGCAAGTAGCATTTTGTTTCCACGAAACGTTTCGTCAACAAATGTCGTTCTCTCATTGCCTTTTCTGACAACTTCGTATGTTCACTACTGGGCGTGATTGGAGGTGTCGGTGCACCTTTGTCTTTGGGTGGTGTCCTGAACGGTGATTCGTTCTCTGGAAGCCGAAGTTCTTGAAGCTTCAATGCATACTGAGCCTTGGTGTCACTATTTTCGATAAGGTATACTGAACCGAAACCACCCTCGGCAATGAAGCCTTTGAAGTTGAGATTCTTAGTGGTTAATCCCGCATCCGGTTTTCGCCATTTGTTGTGACGAATAGGTGCGGTGTTGGTACGAATGGCACGTAAATTCTGAACAGCATTGCGGGCATCCTCATAAATCTCTTTCCGACGGGCTTTCACAGCAGGATCATTAGAATCGGCCATGTTGCTCGGTGGTGTAGTTTGGGTCGCGGCGAGATATTGAAAAGTGACACTATATATACAATGAGTCTTTGAGAGCCTTCAGAGATCTTTGAAATTACCTACATAACAGGCTGTTCAATATTCGTTTTACCTTCACTCACTATGTAATTTCTGAAGGCTCAATCTAAGATTCAACTTCGAAGTCAACTTCGAAAAAGGCACTCTCAAAAGCTCAATTCGTGTTCAGTGTCCAATCGAGTTGAAGGTTCGAAGATACGATACGAATCAAAAGAGGTAAAAGAAAACTGGAGTGCAACCTAAGATTAAGTGAGGTCGATTTCAAACATTACAGCTCATAAATTAAAACCAATTAGAAATACAATATCCTTAATCTTTAAAATCAATTACCCAAGTAATTATAAGCCAGCTGCATTGTCCTCGATAGGTCTTTATTATGAAAAAGGGATTGATGCTCACGGTATAGCGTTGTTATTTGATTGTTTGATTTCTTTGTCTTCAAATTTGTTTGCAGTTGCATATTGAAATTCTGAAAGGGGTCCAGTTTTCTTCCACAGGATAAACGAGCCTTGAATTCATTTTGTTACAATAGGGAATAAGGAGATGCTAATACCCAACGATTAGTAAACGTTATACTGTTTTAGGAAATACATTTGTGATGCTAGGCTGCTTTGCCGAAGCCTGCAAGGTTCGAACCCTCATAACTTAGTTAGTAAATTGGTATCTGACGTTATCGTTAGAAAATTGTAATGAACCAGCACAGCTAGCCTTCTTATTTGATTCCATCCCATCCCATCCCATCAACGTTAACCTAAAAGCAACCCACTTCATTGGCCAATCCCTCATTACAGCCTCCCCATCCATCATCTCATGAACATAACATCCCCCCCCCCAAACCTTAACCCTCCTTCCCCTTTCCACCCTCCTCACAACCACCGGAACCATACACCCCAGAAATACACAAACCACAATCTCTTCCTCCGCCTCACTCAGCATCAGCCCAAACAACATATTCCCCCTTCCGCACTCGCTTAAAACCCCCTTCTTTTCCAAACTACAGCTGTACTCGGTCTAATAACCAATGCATAGCCACCGCTATCTTCTCTATTCAACCATACAGCTGCTATCCCCAAATATCTAACATCTATTCATATTACCTCCACCTCTCATATATATATACTCAGTATTGTATACATATATTCCCACCTCATTCCTCCCATAGCATATATCTACACCCAAGTAGAAATACCCATCAATATCAACATCCATCTGCAATCTTAACTCAACAAAATTCCTTTCTGTTCTCTCTCTCTAGTTCTCAAGTCACAAAGAATCATCTCTCGGATTCATCTCCCCCACTCCCGCATAACTAACTACTAATAAATAACCAATCCTAACCCCTCCTCTACCCTCCGCCTTAAGCTTCCTCATCCCAAATTCTACAGTATCTTCTTTCCAACCAGATTACCAACAGACTTCACCTTCATATCCCCAAGCCACCCCTCTATCACTCAACCACTCATGGGTTTCGATAGAACTACTATGCATATATTCTTCAAACATCTTTCTTCATCATCTCATATTTGTGTATTAAACCATACTCGTCTCGTACTCCTCACAACACCACACATTACTGCCGAATACATGCATATATAAAATGCCGGGAAAGAGATATTAACAAGACTATTTTCATCATATGATTCCATGATATCATTCGCATACAACGTATACACCAGTGCACCTTGTCGCTTGAAGAATAGATATTGTATGCCCGAGTTCATAAGATTTTGATATTTTGTCCATCGGTACCAAATGTAGATAAAGAGTGCCATGCGCAGTAAGACTGGGTTTCTGATATACCCGAATACATATTGGTTTGTAAATAATCTTTACTTTCTCGCCCCGATTCAATCGTAAATGCGATACTGTGGAATCTGTAGACAGGACTGGTATACATCCGCGTCTTCATTGAACATTTACTGTGATCGGTGAAGGATCTCCCATAATATCCATCACTGTTGTGATGAATATACTGTATGCACTTGCCATTGTAGATCGTAAGGTATCCTATACTCATTATCAACACCGATAAAAGTGCAATTCGCTATAAACGACCATCACGACCTAGATCCACCTGATAATGTCGTCTAATCATATTAGAATAAAATTCCCCAAGACTACATAGGTAGTTTAAATGACTCGGCTGTTCAAGAAAAATGGCACGCATAGGTAGCGATGAGTATAGCGCCGCTACGGATAGACTGTTCATGTATATATATGATGATGGTACAGTACTGTAATAAGATAGTACTTGTAAAATTACTACTCGAGTACATGTATCGAACGACAGCCTTAGATGACGGATCATGTAGATTCCTCGCGCGGAACATTCGTTGATAAAGAAATACTGAGTCTTGTTTGATGGGACGGGATCGTGCTTTTGGTCGTAGATGCCGTTGTCGTTGTACTTATTTCGTTGGCGGCTTCAGTTTGATATGTACTCGATCGATCGGTACACACGTAGGCGACAGGAGATAATGAATTCATTACGATCATCAACGATAAAGGAGAGGGAGAAAGGTATGGAAGTGAGGTTGTAGATTGTAGATTGTACTGCGCAAAAGACGACTTGTGCACAGCCAGGATTGAGGCGTATTGAAGAACTACCAAAGGCGCAGTAACTAGCATCAGCCACACCAAGACCCAAGACATTACACTTCCCCAAAAAGAAATGATCGATTTTCAGACATGCAACAGAACAATTAAATGTGTCCTCAATATCATCCCCTCAATCTCGTATACGCCTTAAATAGGAAACGATGATTTGATGTCCGAAACGCAACAAAGAGAAACCTGTCCCTCACATTTGGGTCTAGACCCCCTCCGAACCACAACACGACGGGCCCGTGACCAAACTGGGTAATCTCCACAGTCGATCACATCAAACAACTCACTGACAGCCGAGCACAGGCGAGCCGTCCCGAAATTGGAATGAAGAGAGAAGATCAAGCGATTAGATATGCAACCAAAATTGAAAAGAAGGGAAAAGGGAGTGGGAAACTAGTAATTTGTTGCAGGTAGGCGAGTAGTGACGAAAGGGGAAATGAACGGAGCAGATCAAGCGATTAGATGTGCAACAAATTGTCAAGAATGGTGGAAATGGATATTGAATGTTTGACAGCTGTACCATTTTTATAGGCGAGCTGGTGTAGAAAGGGAAATGAAAGGAAGAGATCAAGCGATTAGATGTGCAACAAATTGTTAAGAATGGTGGAATGGATATTGAATGTTTGACAGCTGTACCATTTTTATAGGCGAGCTGTTGCTGAAAGGGAAATGTACGGAGAAAATCTAGCTATGAGATTTGCAACAAAAGAGGGGAGTACAGTATGTATTATGGATTCAGCTGAAGCTGAATATACAGTTTGTCTTGTCTTGTCATATCTTAATTAGGAAACTCAGAAAAGATCTACAATTTTCAGATGTGCAACAAAGCCTTCCGAGTAACCTATATCCAAGCAATGCAATAATGAAAGCACCGGAATGACATCTAGTTTGGGCTTGATCCAATGGAGGAAAAACAAGAATTCAAGTAATCTGCAACAAGATGAATGAGACAATGAATCTCCGAAGGTATCCATCTAGATTAGGAGATTATCAAAGACGATCCTAGATTTGAGATGTGCAACAAATTACTACACTGTGTATCATTCCTTCGGACATGTTCTCAAATAGGAGAAGGATCAAGATGATCAAGCCATGAGATTTGCAACAAAATGTGTTGAGTGATAAATAGTCTTGATTTGGAGTTTTACGGAAATGAGGTTCGGGGATTGTTCAGATCGGGTGATTTTCAAAGGTGATCTTGATTTTTCAGATGTGCAACAAAAGCCTGGGAGTGCTTTCTCCTTCATATAGAGATGCCCATTTGGGAGATGAGAGTGGCTATCAAATTAGAGGTGTGCAACAAAAACTATAATCTAATCTTGGCCTGGCTGTTGTGAGTGAGTTGCGAAATGCTAGATATCCCAAAAGGGGAATATCCAATTGACGATCATGTTTTTGAGATATGCAACAATTGAGAATCTCTCGCTCTAGACTATCAAAGACTCCTCTCCCAAGAAACGATACACCACCAGAAACAGAAGTGTGAATCGTTGATCCTTCCGTAAAATGTGCAACACCCCCCTTTCCCACCCCTCCTCTTCCCTTGCCGATCTCCCACCACTACAATATCCAGTCCCATACCCTCCTCTTAATTTTCAAAAAAGAAATAACATATAACTGATCACCTTCCTAAAATATACAACATTATTAGTTAGTTCGCTCGCCTGGCTTTAAAAAATGTCCCAACTAGGAGTTCTTCATTAAAACATTAAGAAAATTCCTTCAAATGATCATCCAACATGGCCTGATTTCTCAAACCGATAAGATGGGTAAGTGATACGAATTTCATGATTTAGACAAGTCTAGACCCTTCTCGCTAGCTGTTGCTTATTTGGTAAATGAGGCGCATGATCGATGATCCCTTCTTTCGGATTCGTTAAAAGAGGTGTTGGCTTGCTGCACGTTTCCCCCTTGTCCTGTTGTCGTATGTTTTTTTGGGTTAGATGACATTTATTGACACTTTCCCATTTTCCTCATCAATCGCAATAAAACATGTTTTTAGATAACTTTATGAGTGATAGAATATCATTGGTTAATACCTATGTGCTGCATAGTTTGAGCTTGTTTAGTTGTCATTTAGTTGAGTTAAGCCTTGAGGCGCCTTATAGGGATATAATCTAGCTTTTGAAGCTACTGTACAGTCTGCAACGGTACAACCCTACCTGACATATGCTAAATAATTCGCAAGTACTCTGTATAAAGCCCCCCTTGAAATAGAATAGCTAGTAAGCAGCGGCGGCATATTCCATTTAATATATTCCAAGTCCAACTTCCAAGTCATTGAAATGTTGATCACGACTCTTTCGATATCTCCTCCGGATCTTTTATATTACATTGCATTGCTCATGTTGATCACTTGCCCTTTCCTTCCCTTCCCTTCACCGTGTTTTCCGAAGGATGTGCATTTGTTCTGCAGTTCATTTTATTGATCGGCGCTGTTGGAATACGATATCTCAAATTAGAAAATATTGGGCAAGTGTGGCTAATTGCAATATTGGCCAATTAAATGGATATTAGATATCAGATTAGATATCTGAGCTTTGGCCAAATGAGGCTCAATTGTGGCAGCCAGTTAGAGCCGATTAGGCCCCTCATACAAAGTAACCCCCCTTAGAACTAATTGCATCTCCGAATAAGCTTAAAGTAGACAGCTAGACAGTAAAATACAACCTGTAATAAACTTTTAATGATATGGATCCATTTTGCAGTCAGTGTATCATTCAACAATGGGCTATTCACATAATTCAAAAAATTATAGCTTGCAGAATGGGTGTTGAATTTATTTTCGGTAATAATAATGTTGGCGTCCTCAAGTATTCCTAGAGAATGGGCACGATGGCCCACGACGACGCTTCAGCTTTCGAAGTATTTCCACCGAGCGATTCCTCTCATACCCGAGGGCCTCATAATGTATGGATGCTAGGTATTTGACATCAACATCACATTAGAATCATGATCCCATGGCCTGTGGTCAAAGGCTAGCCTACGAACTAGTTGGTGCTGTTGTCGTTTATAGTATATTTCTATCTTGAAGACAGTAGCGATCAGAATCCAGTGAAGCCGTTGAAGAGCACGACCACGGAAAGGTGGCGGCAGCGTACGAATCCAATACGATTTCCATCAGATATCCCGCATGAGGATGGATGCTTAAATGGCTCATGCTAATGATGAGCATTCATCATCAATAGTCGTGATCTGATCTGAAGCTGTCAGAATCAACCATCACTGATACTCATGACAGACAAACATACCTATATCAATATGACCTCGTATATTCTAAAAATCGAATAAAGATGATAACAACGTCTTACAGTTATCTGTACTTTCAGCGTGGTTTCGGCTTTCGAATAACAACTTTCGTCCCTTCCAATTGCCATCCCACACTATAATTCGCAGTCAAATCGGTCCAACTGGTATTGGTAAGTTGCTCCAGGGAAGCTAAATCGATACTGAGATATGTCTTCCCAATCGATTTCAAAGCATGTAGCTTCATCTCATCCTCTGCAAACTCCATGATCTTTGCCTTGTATCCGTCGACCCCCCTTTTCACTCGCCAAAATAAAAAGTAATTATCATGAGCAATCGCCCTTAAAAGGTCGTCGACTTTCGAGTCCCGTAGCCCCAGTGCAAGTTTGATGGAGAATGCCTTTGCCAGATCCCGTTGTCTACAGGCCAGATCTAGCACTTGATATCCAGCGAATTCTTGAAGCTCGGTGCTTGATAGAGGGTGTCGCGGATGCATCACTTGGAGTAGATGACGCATCGCTGGGTGGTATGATTCCCAGTGCTTCAGCAATATTGACAAGCGTATGCAGAATATGTACGCTTGGATGGAGAAATCATCTATCCTCTTTGATGCAACGATTCCTTCTCGAAGCTTCCTCATCCCCATTGTTATAGAATCTAATTCGTTGGTATCGCCTTTACTATTCGCAAGGTCTGCGGGCGCGGGCTTCGTCACCGCTTGAGCAGGATCGCGATTCCCATTTTCTTCTGAAATATTCAGACGTGCAAGTTTTCGGTACAATTCGTCCCCTCGGCGGGCATCGGCTGCGAATAGCAAGTATCGTTCGACTATCTTATTGTAGAATCGTTCTTGAGTTTTATAGTCGAGAAGTCTAGCGGGGTAAGTCAATAAAAGCGGGAGATAAGATTGGTTCAAGGACCTACTGTTTATCCCCCTTAGATCTCAAGCCCATTTCCTCGAAGATATCCTGATTGACAGGCTTCAGTCGACTCCATGATGAATTCCGACCTCCTTTAGTCGACATTGAATAAGAGAACAAATATCGACGGTGATGCTTGTTGAATTGTGATGTTAGAGATTCATTCACATGCGTGGAGCAAAGGTTGAACATTAATTATCTCGGCTTCGCTACTCAGTAGAATGCCCCTCATCTCATCGGCAAATTGCTGCTTTAAGTAGGAACTCCCCAACAAGTATTTTTGATGAATCTGCTACTGCTACTGCTACTGCTATGGCTTCATTGTTTATCATTTGATGCTTCGTCCTTGAAAATGATAAGAAGATCCCTCTCTCAGGTTCACTGTTTGATTTACTGCTCTTAAATTGACTGATTCCATATTTCGTTCTCAATATATCGCGAGTACAAGCTCACTCACATGCGCCCAGATGTCTACCCGTCAACGAAGGCCATCAACCACATCATTAACCACAGAACTTCTATCCGAAACAGCCAAAAATATTGAAAGGAAAGTCGAGCATGCCCTTACAGTTTTCTGGGATGATCTTCCTTCCTGGCAACAAGACAATCATTATATCAAATCTGGTTACCGTCCCTCAACATCGTCCTTCCAAAAATCATTCGCATCCCTCGGTTACATCCACAATGAATCAGTCAATATCTATTCGCACTTGATCGGAGCCATAGTATTCACTCTTTCGGGATATCTCTTGTATGCAATTATCAAACCTAGATATGCGTCTGCGGAAACAGCGGATGTTCTAGCATTCAGTTGTTTCTTTGCGGGAGCTGCATTATGTCTTGGAATGTCAGGGACTTATCATACCATTTCCAATCATTCTCCTACTGTTGCTAAGTTTGGCAATAAGTTGGATTATCTGGGGATTGTTTTCTTAATTACTGGGAGTAATATTCCGGGAATCTATTATGGTTTGTACTGTCATCCACATCTGTTCGAATTTTACACCACAGTTGTAAGTCTTTTCTCCATGGTTCGGGCAATTCTTCAGTCTTGGCTCATAATCTTGTCAGACGGGTATTCTTGGGGGTTGTTGTGCAGTGGTTGTCATGCTTGAAAGATTCAGAACTCCTGGATGGAGGCCCTATCGAGCAGGTATCTTTGTGGCTCTGGCACTTTGCGGGGCCGTTATTCCAATACTGCACGGGATACAACTGTATGGGTTCCATGGAATGCGTGAGCGGGCAGGCTTGACATGGTTGCTACTCCAAGGATTTCTTTATATTCTTGGTGCTTCATTATACGCGGTAAGTTTTCCAAAGTCGTCTTTGAGATTGGTTGTCTGATAGCTGTTAGGCACGATGGCCTGAACGGACGTCACCCGGCTCTTATGATATCTGGGGAAGTTCTCATCAGATATTTCATATGCTCGTTCTTGCAGCCGCTGCTTCCCATTTGTATAGCCTGACAATAGGCTTTGATTATTATCATAATAGTTCTGGACCGAAATGCTGAATAGCAAAACTTTGCGAACGCGGGCTTGTGAGATGTATCGATTAAGATGTCAGAGGAGATTTTAGTAACTGACACCAAGGCCTAATGACCAGGCACGATAGAGACTCGCCAAAAGTAGCTGTTTATAGGAGCTGTACGTACAGAAGACGAGTCATCATGGTACTAGAGTTGATACTAGGATTGGTAAAAGACTCGCCACATGAGAGATTTTAAACTTGCATACACTACTCGAGTAGAACGAGAAGGTTATACAAGAAAAGACATTATACTCGAGTTGTTGAAATCACCGATGAATAATCGCAAGTAGTGAGCTGTGACTTGTGAGTAGTGAGGACGAAGCTACACCTTGAAATCCAAAAATAGAAACAAGCCTCGGCTCGGTAATCAAAAATCTGGGGAAGCTCTATATCCCCGCCTATGAAGACAACCTTGCACATTTCAGAACGTATCCATGCTATTTCTTCCTCTAAATCTATACCTCAATTAATCTGACAATGGCATCTCGTGTATCACAAATTGCTAGCCATCTCAATTACCCCAAGGGAATGCTTGCTGGTCAAGTAGCTATCATTACTGGGTCTGGTCAGGGTATTGGTGCGGAAACTGCTAAACTCTTTGCGAATGAAGGAGCAAAAGTGATTATATCCGATATCGATGGCGGTTAGTACTACTCCACTCTTCCCTGGGCTCGACGATACCAATACTGATCCAATCACCATCTCAGCCAAAGCGGTATCCGTCGCCGAAGAAATCAATTCCGCAGAAAGCGGCCGCGCAATCGCAGTCCCGGGCGACATGCTCGATGCCGAATACCTCAAAGTACTCGTGAAGAAAGCCGCAGAATTCGGAAACGGAAAGATACATATGATAGTAAACAATGCCGGATATACATGGGACGGCGTAATCCACAAGATGACCGACAAACAATGGGAAAATATCCTCGCCCTCCACAACACCGCCCCCTTCAGACTCATCCGCGCAGCCGCTCCCTATTTCCGCGTCACGGATGGCGAACCGCGATGCATAGTCAATATATCCTCGACATCCGGTGTGCACGGTAATGCCGGACAGGCCAATTATGCGGTGGCGAAGGCGGGGATTAATGGACTTACGAAAGTTATTGCGAAGGAGTGGGGTCCGAAGTTTGGGGTTAGGTGTAATAGTGTAGCGTTTGGACATATATTGACGAGGTTGACGGCAGCGAAGGAAGAGGGGGCGTTTGTGACGACGCCGGATGGAGAGAAGGTTGCGCTGGGTATACCAAGGGGTCAGGGGAGTCAGGGAGTGGATGCGAATGCGGATATTCCGTTGAGGAGGGCGGGGACGGCGGGGGAGGCGGCGAGGAGTATTTTGGCGGTGGCTAGTCCGTTGTTTGGGTATGTGACGGGGCAGACTATTATGGTTACGGGTGGGAGGAATATGTAGGGCTATATATGTGTTGAATCTTGTGTATTGCCTTGCCGAGTACAATGCTTATTGGGCCTTGTTTATTGATTGTTCCAATAACCCTCTCATTCGACTTTATCTTTGTAGCAAAACCCCTCCAAGTAAAATGACCGACGTAATCCAAGATCTAGGGAAACCACAACCTATTTCCAGGCTTGATACCAACACTTTTCTTGTCACATATTTCACATACGATATCACTTAAATATTGATCCCATCACAACAACATCATATACTCGTACAAGAACCCCAACCAAACCCCTCCCCGTCCGTACAAACTACTTCTAACAAAATACTCGAGTACAGCTATCTCCAAGATTAGGATTAGATTTCCGGCAGACTCTCATCTTGGTGAGATATACTATCACTATCATCTACATACCTACATACCTACAATTAAGTCAAATAATCACATCTCGTCTCAATACTACAGATTCGATTCGATTCGATATTCATGTCATCAAACATTACTCAACTATGGATATGGACTGTCAGTTAATGATTCTATTAGAATAGAATGAGAAATGAGAAATGAGTGGTCTGATATCTGATGATGAATCGAATTGTAAGTTATATACGCTTTTGATGTTATTGGTATTATTGTATTTATATGAGGCTTGTCAATGTTTTTCTTGTTATAGATATATATATATAAGATCTTCCGTTGCAGGTTTAATTCATCCACTTTCATAGTTTATAGAGATGAGGTTATAATTAGGAATTTGGATTTGGTTCGGCAAATGTCTTTGGATTTGCGTTGTGTATACTGTCTATATAGACAGTGAATAGTAAATAGGGTATGGGTATATGTATGTATCTGCAGAGTCCCAAAATTCCTTTCCAAAATGAATCCTGCCAAATTGGCAGAAATTCAACCTCGCCACAAAAACAAATCTAGTACACCTTCATGAATTCTCACTCAGGTCGTATTATATCCTATTATCCTTCCTATTCCCCTCCCTTCCCTATCTCATACATACATTCCACCAACCCAAGGAAAACCAGCCCAGAGCTACCAATATAATATGTAGTCCATTACTACTTCACTCCTCTCTGCAGTCTTTTCTGCAGTCTTTCCTCCCTACTTCATTCCACATGTATATCTCTGCCCTCTTTCTCGTTCCTTGGCGTTGTATATTGGGGGTATTCTCTCGTCGTGTATTAGGGTATCATCTCGTTGTACACTAGGGTATTCTCTCATCGTCCGTTCTTTGCGTAGTATGTGCGCTATTACTCGAGTATGTACGTGTATCTTTTTGTATTTCGTACTTCACAACGTATTGTGTATTCCGTACTCGTATTTGGTATCTGTATTCCGTGTTTTGTGTTTCGCATATGATATTTCGTTGTTCGTGGTGGTGTATTTCGTAGTGTATTACTTTCCCATTTCGCATTTCGCATTTCGTATTTCATCATAGTTTTGATGGTATACTCGTTCTTCGAAAAATCCTTTCTCGCTCTCTTGGCGCGTTCCTTCTCCTTTATGGAGGTATGTGAGAATCGTTGTCAATGTGCCTTCTAGGTTGATATTCTCATGATCAGGGTATATGGAGATGTCCGAGGGGGAAAGAGCGGATGAGGCGGAGTAAGTTGTGATCGGGATTTTGTTCTGTGCGGCATATAGACAAAAGCTTTAGGTGTGGGTGCTGAATTGAAGTCGAAGTTGGAATTGAAGGTGATGAAGAGGTGCTGTAGGCGAATGTGGGTGTTGAAGTTCTTAGGGAGATGATGGATATGAAACCTGGCGTGTGAATCCCAAGGATATAAGGCATTCTTAATGATAAAATGGCGTTTTATGCGACAGATACTGCTTAGGCCGGTGGACTCTAAGGTCTTCTCCTTAAGCATAAGCTTCTTCCGCTTTGCATTTTCCTTCCCAATCTGTCGTAAAATTATCTGCCTCGTCCAGAAAATGCGGTTCTCTTTCCCCTTATTCACCGTCCTAAGCTTGAGCCCCTCTCCTTCCCCCCCCCCCTTCCCCTCCCCCAATCTGTCTCAGAATCTCTTCCTTCAACCTGACATTGTGCTCCTTCCTCGTCTCGATCCCAAATTTCTCCGCCAATTGTCTTTGGAGCTCTGCCTCTTCCGTGGCACTCCGTTCCGACGTCGTCTCAAACATGAATTTCTCCTTCTTTGCATTTTTCTCGGCAATCTGTCGCTGGATCTCTGCCTTGAATTCGAAACCGCGGGCCGACGTCGTATCGAGCTCATACTCGACGTATTCTGGGGGCATCGTACTAGGTCCGTAATACCGTGTCCAGGAAGGAGAAAAGCCAACTTTGAATCGGAAGATCTTAGCCCTGCGGGCCTGCTCGGTATTAGAGAGGCGAGGCGAGCAAACATGGAGACGGTGGATTCTATAGGGTATTTCTTCCCTATATGAATGCTTGTCCTTTCCCGTTGCATTACGGAGCGTTGTCGAAACCCGTTCGCTACGTTCCTTCAAGTCGGCCGCTGTGTATAAATCCTTGACATTTTGTGGTTGGAACTCTAGCCATACTCGTTGGGCATCTGCACATGGGACCTTCTTCTTAGGGCACTTGTATCTAAGAATCGTGGGCTTCTTGTGAACGGTAGCGGACGGTGATTGAGCCTTTATGATGCTGGCAGAGGAGGAATGCGGGGTCTTGGCTGCTGGGGAAACACTTGGAAGCGTCAACGCAGCCTTTGTTTTTCCCTTCTTTGCCTTCGGAAGAAACTGCTCCGCGACACTGTCCCAGTCGCGCTCCCGTTTCTTTCTACCCCTTGGGCCGTCGACGGTATCCTCCTCTTTTATATCACCATCGGTTTCTTCGGCCTTAAGCATCTTTCGTCTCTTGTTATTACCCAATTTAATATTGGGCGCTTTATCCTCTGCGTCGTCCGCCTTTCGCTTTCGCCTTGGGCCGTTGAGGTCTCCAATCACATGCTTTGTGTCAATATCCCCTCTGATTTGTTCGGCCCTTGGTGCCGTGTTGTCATTGAAAGCAACACTGGGTTGGATGGACTGGGTGGATGATGTGGAGGGCAATGACGACAATGACGACAATAGATTGATAGACTCGACGTCTCCTCTGAAAGATGTCGCAGTTGCGAACGACCAACCTTCGGTAAACATCGACCAATCGGGTGAGTCTTCTGTCGACATCTTGTAAAACTGTGAGGCAAGTTGAATGTTTAGCAGAGGTTGTAGAGTTTGATATGCCTATTGATTATCGGGAGGCCGGTATGCTGCTCGTCGCTGTCGTGTGTACTGTGCTGGTCTCGATGTAGTACAAGAAGTTGAAATGGGTATCAATGACGTATTTGATGATTGGATAGGGTAAGAAGATAGAGTAAAGAAGGTTTTACTTCAAGTTGATGATCTATTGTGATTCAGAAGTTATTGGTTTCTGGATGATGATGTGATTGTTTGATGTTTGATTGTTGATGAGGATGAGGATGAATTGACAGTATTAAGGATACTTGATGGGTGATGGGATTGAGAACAGCGGTACAAGTGGAGGTGCTGTATGAAGGAGGTGCTGTAAGAAGGAAATTGAGTGAATGTGTAAAAAGGCGAATGATTCAAGCTTTTCACTGCCGTATTGAATGATGATTTGATATGCGATCAAATTATGGTGAATATCTCAAAATGAATCAATATATTGAAGCTGTTGTACTGAGTCTCTCTAATCGAGGGATTTCAAAGGGAATTTGCAGATTTGAGAATGTGTGCGTCGCGCTAAAGACTAGAGACTAGAGACCGCACCGGAGAACGCAGTATGCCAACAATGAAGAGTGAAATACCTGGTTTCAAGTTAATAATCGAAGCGGATCGGGTTTGGTGAGTATTCGATGACGCCTGCACTCTGAATTAGATAATGTAAGATCCCATTGACGCAGTTAAGTGAAGATGAAAAGTGTGAAAAGATGGGACGGGACAGTACAGGCTATGGGCACAAGAGACAGATTGTTTAGCGATGATATTATGAATAGATAGTAGGTGAATAAATGATGGTGAATAGAGAAGTTTATTATATAGCGATATCATATTTAAATTATGTTTTTATATTGATATTATTGAGTAAAGGTAGAGTATATAAACAGATAGGACGAGACAGTATAGGCTATGAGTATAAGAGAAAGAACGTTTAGTGATAACAATATGAATAGATGCTAGGTGAATAAATGGTATTGAATCAAGAAGTGAATTATGTAGCGATAATATATACAAACTATGGTCTTGCATAGTATTTGCTATAAGAGTAAGAAGCTAACAAGATCGAATTGCTACAGTGTACAGGTATACGAGCTGGTGGGTGTTAAGGGCATACACGGTAGTTTTACAGGCATTTCTTTTCCTCATAGCCATCATGCTCGCCATAAGGCCCGGATGCGTAAGTGAAATTGACCTTGACAAGTTATCGTTACTGCATTTGAAATTGATTTGAAAAACAATCAAGAAGGCAATTGTGTATTAGAATTGATGAACAGAGACGCGGCTTCTTCTTCGTATATCTCCAGTCGTATAAAGTACAGTCGATGAAGGGTAGACAAATTGACTCACGAAGTTGGAAGATTTATGGTCCATCATTTGACCTACGATATACTTTTCGACTAATGGAAGAACAACAATGACTTGAGACCTAGTGTGGTAATTAGGTAGTACATATAAAACACGTTAATCCCACCATCTTGTAAGGAGATTTCTTTCCTGCTAATGGTTCGAAACAGTCTCTCTAGGACCATTCCTGTGACATCACCACCGCTATCAATCATTCATGTCAATGATGCCACGCTCCTTATATGGACACTCAACGTACGTCTCCCTTTTCTGTTCTCGGGTACCACATCATTGATGCACGTGCCTAGAAGGCAGAAGCCAAAAATTGAATTTAAATCAATTGATATACTGAGATCTGTCAATCTGTTATACTGGCATGATTTAAACTATAACTATTCTATCGCGAGGAGGTGATTTCATGAGCTTTCTTGGTCTCGTGATCAGACGATCACCCAACAACGGGCAATTGATGACAACTGGAAACATCATTAGAGACAGAAACAAAAACCATCAGTCATTGGAACGATGATGTCAATATAATCCCTTCGGGAAACAACGGTTCATCGAATAAAAATTAAAAAGTTGAAGCACGTGGTGATAACAATGGCTTCCACGTGTTCATGGATAATTGATTTCATATTTTGAAGAATCCATTCATGGAAGGAAGCATAAGCAACAAATTTATCCATGCACGAGAAGTAAGTCTCTCTCAAGTCGCTAAAGATAAAGGGGGGAGGTGGAGGGAGAGCTGGATAGGTACAATGGATGCGCGATATCAAACGAGTGTAAGATTTCACTAACTTGCACCTAGTACTTCGCCCGGCTATCGAAAATCGCGGGCTAATATTAAGAAAGCAGACCAAACTATCACGACTGACTTGTCAAATTCTCAAAATACAATAACGTCTTCCGATCCAAGCAAGAGCTTGATGCCCTTGTTACTTTGATCCACGCCACCAAAACTGAGTTCACGTGTCCTTAAATTCATGCGAGCAGCCTGCAATGCATTGCGATTCACAAACAATAACACCCGGCTATCGCATACAGATTTCTATCGAAACAAAAGAATGCAATAACACGAAAAGGATAATCTTCAAGCCAGGGAAAGAAATCAAGTTTACATCATGCTGACTGCAGGAAAACGTTGTTCCATGGTGCCGTCCCAACCACTTCTCGGGGAATAAAGCCGAATCCGTGTTGTATTACCGGAGGATGAATTAACACTTGTCAGCTCATCACCGATCATTCCTTCTTGCGTAGAAGCTTTCGATAACCCGTAGGATCTGGGTAATTGGATGATATTACTCCAATACGGTATATTGGCGTTGTTGATATATATTACTTGTTTTCTTGGTGCGACACGCGACGGAAGCATTGTTTGGGTCCGCATGGATCAACACCATTCTTGATACGAAGATTGTGTTCGAACCAGGATTAGTGATGATCTCTTTATCCACGGAATGGATGTCCGAGTACCAGTACCTTGAAACTTCAAGATTGTGGTCGTACTGTATGCCTACAGAGGCTGTACAATTCATCCCGGCGACAAAACAATCCCTCATTGCAACAATACAATATGCGGGACACTTGTCGTACGAGTATTGTATGGATAGGAGAACCTCGAAGAATGATCCTGTCCTGCGACTACATTGCGTTCCCTACATACGCTTCATCCTCATGCCTCACCAAATACGAAAGTGCATGCAGAATAAGCCGCCTATCAATTTGCATTGAGCCAAAGCTCGTGTTTTTTTTTCGCCGCCTCCATTCGCGTCGCATAGCGTCACGTGACCCAACATGCAAGTCGTGAGCGGCTACGTACCATCCCCATCTTTTCTGCAAGAACACTTCATCTTTCTATCATGCTTGCATCGTTGCATCTCCACCATTCGACATGATAGTATGATACGTACGATGCCAACGATGCCAACGATTCAATGGACCTTTTCCGCGGGAGTCCCGATGTCCAATGCGAGGAGGGAAGTACACTTTAACAAGCATTCCAAAGTGGTCAGATGAGAGCCGATGTAAGATGTAAGATACAAGTCAGCATCTCGAATGTGTTCATACCCATATTAAACTTCCAGCTAATGCACGCGGCTCAAATAGCCTATTAATTCATGGATCTCGAACTCCGATTCCCTTCTCTACAAAGAGTTCCGGAACTTGTTTCATTTGGGTAATATTGAAATGTTTTCAGGAAAATGGGTCACATAATTGGTGGATTAAAGATGTATATGGTTTTCTTGTCTTATGATTTCAAGATCCCAAGTAAATTCTACGCCATTCAAGATTTCCCGGTGCTGTGGATCTCTCTAGCCTTCACCATCCGTAACTTCCACTTCATCTTATGGTAGAGTATTGGATTTTGGATACTTGTCTTGAGTATACGGAAAAAAGGGTTATGTTCCGTGGTTTTTCGTTACTCGATCGCCTCAAAATCAATCCATCTCCCAAACTTCGTGCCAGAACCCCCCCTTGGTATCCAACAATCACAAAACAAATACTGGGAGCCTGGTCTCTCTAGACCTCTTCTGATCTAGAGGCAATACATCGTTGTGGAGTCTGGCGTATAATAGACTATAATTTCGATCTTGGCTCTAAGCTCGTTGAAGAGTGACAGCAGGATCTTGCAACTCATGACTTTAGTGAACAGATTTTCGGTTGTTCAGGCTACTCTTTTGCCTGAAGATTGAGAATCTGAGTTTGAACGAGATATACTGGGATTTTATAGAGAGATATCCGGTATTTGGACCTAGTGAATAAATGCGCCCTAGCATCGGAAACTTGATAAATTCCATCGTTGATGAGAAAATCTGATGGGGAATGGCGGAGTCCTGGGGTAGTGCTGCCTGAAATGATCATGACAGGTGCGATTAGCGCGTCTCTATGTAGCCTCATCTCGTAACGAGATAAGCCCTCTCCACACCTACAACCGGATCCCCATTTGTGCCTAGGAACGAATCCGAACGATGACAGAAGAAAAGTCAATTAACGAGCTATCTCTAGTCCAAAATCATAGTAAGTTTTTAGGAGCTCCGAGTGGCGTTGCCTGAAAATCAGTTCATACGATTTTACCAAGGTGGTGGCTCTTAGTCGCCATTTTATTCTCACCCAACTTGAAACAAGATCAGCCTAAAGCTGCTCTCACATGAATACAATAAATGGAGTTGGTAATTTATGGAGCATTTCCAGCGTTAGTGACTCTTAAATTGGTAAAAAGTGCCTCCCAATTCATCTTAGCTACTCTATCAATCAGTCACGACTGGGCTTAGAGACATGGTAGCTTTAAGTCTAGAGGACAAGTGTCAGGACCGGATAGCCTTTAACTTGAGGTCTTCAAAGTTCTGGGTCACTTGTACGTATGTACTAGTCTAAATCAGGTCATCGAGTCGGAGATCTAGCCTAAATTTTGTATTACTGTAATATACTGTATTGAAGCCTTGGCTATGCAATACGATCAAAGTGTTTGAGTTGGCCGAGTTGGATAGATCATAGGTTTTGATTTACATGTAATATTCGATAGGGGGCGTCAAGCGAATGTTCACGCGATTTGTCTTTGAAGCGAACCTATCGATTCAAAGTATTGATTTTAAAGCGTCGATTAAAAATTTCATATAGTCCCCACAACTGAATTTAGTTCTTTATTTTCATCGACTAAAAATCACCCCCATATTTTCATTATTACGTTCAGCTGTTCACTGGCAGCTTGTAGTATTGAGCTGTGATCTGTTCTGATAAGGATCAGTATCTCCTACCGAGCCCCTTTTACATAGCGATCGAGCCCTTCGACCATGCTCTGCCGTGGTTTCACCGATCCTGTCCCAAAAGTTAGAGCTTGAGTCTCCTTTCAAAGTGTTTGATTTTTGTGTAATCTCGCTTCAGTCCAGTCCAGTTCTGTCCTGCCCTACCACGAGTTCTCGTCAAAAGTCACATTCATATTGAAAAATCACAATCGGTGGAAACTCTTCGGTTCTTATAAACGAATGAACAACATAAGTCCTGGCCATGTGAAAGATTTTCATGATAGCGCCTCCCGACGTTAACTCTAGTACAAACGAAAATTCATGATAGTCTCATTCATACGCCATTCAGAATATGCCATGCATTTAATCTTCCCAGATCGCTGGGTGTCCAAGATCTCATTACTCGAGTAGTTATTAGTCATAGCAAACTCTCGAATCTATGGAAATGTATCGTAGAAACTCTGAAAGTACGAATAAGTTCATATTCGTCGGTTTGGCACTGGCTTGTTGAAGCAGAGTCTGTGTCCAGTAGACAAGAGTAGGATGAGAATAGATGGATTTAGATACTGGGATGAGTAGCTCGTGGCTGCTATTTCTAATACCCCACATGTAGGTCTGTCTGTAGAAGAAGGTGTTGGTGGGTAGGTGGTTGGTCTCTTAGCTCGATTAATGAGACATGTAGTCCTTTTCAATCAACCTGTCCAGCTTTTGGCTTGATCGACAGCTGGATCAAATGCGGCTGGACCCAACGTCAGTTAGTTGAGGTAAGACGGGTACTGGTGTCGATGCCACTGGAGTACTGGGATATATATCATCATTAAATCCATTGATTGAGAAGCTACTTCCGCGTATCCTACTTTCATTTGTACATAACCTATTCTCTCCCTGGAAATCCCGCGAATCCTTTTCGGAGGTTATTCCGGTTGACTACTATCCCAAGATCATCTAATATCCCCATCCTCCAGGAGCCAACCTTCGCATAGTCCTAGCTTAGTCAATCGCACAATGAAGTCTCATCTCATCACTCGATGAGCACAAGAGATATTATTCACCAACATAAGTGCAAAGAATGATAGCGTGGAGATACTGAATTTTTCGATTTGGTGACCATTTACCCCTCCGACACCTAACCCATTGTGTCTCTGGGTTCCAGTAGCCAATGACAATGATAGTATTCAAATGGATCATGGGACAGACGTGCAACAAAGAATATCAAAAGAATCTAGTGTGGCCAGCTAGATTTTAGATATATACTAATGGCTAGCTAGGATCATTCTCTAATATCAATCGTTAGGGCTGCCGCTCGATCATGTACAGCACATCCTCTATACCGGTACTTAGGACGTATGAATGACTCATGCCCAACAATCTACCGAGTACTACCGGTAGTTCAACCAGCTTGACGTATAATCGTCGCTATAGTGAGCTTCCTCAGAAACAACAACTAATTATAGTGGGGCCACCCACGAACAACCCTAGCAATATCTTGAGAACATGGTTCGAAATTCTAGACCAGCCAAGTAACTCAGCCTAGTACTAAACTGATGTTCACGATCAAGTCACTTGTTGCCATATAAGAGGGCAATCCTGTTTCTCAATAGTTTATGACATATATTTCATTCTCACAACTATATTTCTACTACCTATCTAGCCATAGGTGTCTTTCAACCACCTTGGAAAACCTAGCTTGTCGGCAATATTAGATACACCATACTATCTTAGCTTTACCTCTTAAACCGGAATTATACTATACCGTGTTTGGACCGACTTCCCTTTCATATAAGAAGGAGTTGGTTACAGTGAGGAGATCCGAGATCGCTAAAACCTCACTCTTCACTCTTCGAGTCTTCGATCAGCTTTTGGCTTAAGAATCGGCGAAAGGGAAGCTAATGCTATCACTCGATGGCTCTAGGTAGTAAACGTTGCAGAACTCCCATGCACTAGGTCACACACAGTGATCTCCTACTTGTAATTCAATAGCTTCTCCAATTATCGATTGGATTAGATCATGTTAGAATGTTCGATGAGCAATATCAAGACCTCGAATGTTCTCTTGGAAAAAAGCCATATGAATGATGATGATGATGATTGAAATGTCAATTTCATCGAAACAAAATCACTATAAAAATGTCTCGCCACGTGATTTTGTTCACTAAATCACACTAAACATCCCCAAATAGGGGGGGGGGGACGGGGGTTTGGGCATTTCGAATAGCGCACTTCTAATAGAACAAAAAGATCTAAAGGAATAAGCAAACTCACCTAACACGTGTATACATACTACCTCACCAAACACAAGATGAATGGCCCCTCCAACCACTCCCATCCCATTGGCCAGTCATCAAAACCATCATCTGACCCCTCCCGGGCGGAGAGGCGTAACATTTCTAAAAACAAGGCGAACGGTGGCTGAAATGAATCATCACACAACCGTTGTAATCCCAGTCACCGCATATGCACGCCCAGACAATTAATCTAGGCTTATGCATGTTTCTCCCGTCTCTGTTCGTAGTAATCTTTACGCCGATGTGATAGAAAAACTTGCTTGAGCCTTGGGGCGAGAATTGGTGCCTTCCTAATGGGGGCTGGCCGAGTGGATCTTTTGGTTTCGCATGTGGCAAGGCAAGACGGATATTTGTGAGTGTACAGTACAATTGCATTTTGCACTTCTAATCTTGATGGGTGAAAGATCCTTCGTTTTCATTTCAAGTGTGATTGCGACGGGTGCCAGACCGCAATAGTACGCCGCTCACAAATATTAATCTTCCAAGATATGGTGCTCCGAAATGTGTAAATTTTTGACTATTGGTATCGTGATAACTCCGTTCCAAGATTTGAATGCCGTCCCGATGTACATGTAATGTAGATTACACCTATACCTCTCCCAAACACCATCTTATCCCCGGAAATTGACCACTTGCCTATATTTCCGTCCTAACGTATTTTATTGCCATGCAAGCATGAAAACTCCCCCTCTTCTACTGTCCCGTCCAAGAAAATGCTCGTAAAAAGGGGTATAAAGCGAAAGTAAACTGAGATCACCATACTCCAGGAAATCTATCGTCGTGAAGAGCACACCGCGAAACTCTGAATGAGCCAACATGCTGCGGTTTTCAAATCTGTCCTAGCCCAAAACGCCAGATCAGGAAGTCTATTCTTCCCAGTTCCCGCACCGAACACCAAATGTCAAATCCTAACCTCCCTTCATTTAGTCGTGTGTAAAAGGTCCTTCCCCGGAGCCCCATCCACCTCTTTTCCAGTGCGTAGAACAACCCAAAAAAAAATCTGTACAATATTTTTCAAAATTAAGTACTATAAACATAATAACATGATAAAATCAAATATTAACTTTTAAAACAGAATGGTCCCGGTAATCCTATATTGGCCATTGTAAATTATACCCATGACGAATGATGAGTAAACTTTGAAAATGTTTGCACCATATAATGAGCAGACTTTGATACTGTTTGCGAACTTTGTGTAATGAATGAATCCCATTGATGCTGTGGGGTGAATGTAGCAACCTTCGGAGAGGCTGAAGACGAACTAACAGGTTTTGCTGCATGTGAAATGGACTCCTCTGGAGGGGGTGTGAGTAAACCGGTTCTCAGGTTACCATTGGAATCTCCGTGATTATAGGCGGAAATATCATGGTTTTCGAGATCATGACAGTCCGACACTGGGACCGAGGGGCCAGTATTACCGTAGGGTCGAACCAAATCGGAAGCTCTACTGTGCGTGTTGATCGCATCATCATCGGCGGCGATAGCAGAATCGTGAGACGATGACGATGATTGAGATCGACTTATGACATCTGGTGTTGACGTGGAGTAACCGGAATCTTTGGACAAACTGTTGGTAATTCCTGCAAGATCTGGTCCGTGAGCACTTGAGGAAGGGGTAGGAGAGTAAAGTCTCGGGCATTGTAGAATCAGTAGCTTCAGTTCTGCGACAGTAATACGGGCATCCGGATCCGGTTGAAAGATCATATTAAGAATAATGTTGAGTTCATCCGATAGGTTCAGGAGAGTCTTCAAGAAATTTGGATCTTTGAGAAAGGCAGTATATGTGGCATCATCCCATGAGGCCTGTCTCCATGGGTTTCGTCCGAATGTGAGATTGACTAAGATCACTCCAAGAGACCAGACATCGCTTGGAGCACATTTGTATGGCGTATATGACTGTTCCAGACATTCTGAAAACAAAATCGGTTAGTAGATGAAGGATGCTGGAGGGTTGGGAAGAGGAGCTGGCGGAGCCTACCTGGAGACATGTAAAATGTGGACCCGCATCCGTGATCGCGAGATGTTATTTCCCGTGTGGCCAACCCAAAATCCGCTAGGCAAACGGTATGGCCAGAATTGGAGACTAGAATATTCTCCGGCTTAAGGTCCCTGTGGTATATCCCAAGGCGGTGGCAATGTTCCGTGGCATCCAAGATCTGGAGGAAGATACTCAGGATTAGAGCATCATGACCTACATATCTACCACCTTCGGTGATATTGGAAAATAGATCTCCTTCATGGAAGTAATCCAGGATAACATAGGTGCAGGTCGGATCGTCGAGTATTTTATACATTGGGACTATATTAGGATGTGCCGAAGCTTGCCAATGTAAGGCTATCTCTCTTGCTTGGTAAGCTTGTGCTTTTGCGTCCAAAGGTTGTCCATAGGCATTCATTTTGTCGAGAGCTTTCACCGCGTACTCTTTGCCGGTGGATAAATCTTGAGAATAGTATACAACTCCATAGGCTCCCGTGCCTAACACTCGTGATAATAATAGGGTATCTGCCAGTATTTTACCTATCCTGTGATCCTGACCTGGTGCATATGGAAATGCTAGTGGCGATGGAGGAGGGGTTGGATATCTGTAAAGGTTCGGTAGATGGCCATCCTGGAGGTGGGAATACTTCAGACAGTCCGGCGATAGAGGAGGGGATGGATAAGTGTAGTGCTGGGGTGTAAATGTTGCGGGAAAATTGTTGACCTGAGGGTGTGGATATTGGTGATTCGAGTAGTTTTGCAAAGCAACCGGAGTGGGTTTGTTTGGCGGGAAACATGGTGGCAACTCCCTACTACAATCCCACATGGCAGAATGTGAAGAGGAAAAAAAAAGTCCTGGAGTATAAATGGGTTCCTATCCTAATGGTCCAAAAAACTGGGATATATGAACAGTTGCAAAGGAAAAGGGAGCCGGGGAATTAGATCCGGTTCCAAAAGGTTTCTTGATTTATGGCTAGATTATATGTTGTTCGGCATATCGTCTTTGGAGAGGAAGGAGTCAAGCGGCGACGACAAGTATATTGAAAAATAAAGTGAGAGAGATTATGGCATCTTAATAAATGTTATATGTTATTGGGGAGACCAATATATATTACCAGAATTTTGACTCATGTTTCATTCCTTTGAACTAATGAATCAAACTAGCTGAATGGAGTACTACCTGTTCTTCCAATAAATTCAAAGCCTACCTATCGGTATGAAAAGCCAGGATCACTAGCTTGTTTTCGCAGGGCTATAATGTGAGGCCAAAAAAAGAGAAGTCTCACAAATCATAGACTTATAACTAATCGTAGGCCTACTAGCCAACTCGCCCCACCCACATACCATTAAATACAACTTCTCTCGCTAGTAGGCCTACGATTACCTCTGCTACTGATCGTTGCTTTTAGAAGGAATTGCTGTGCATCATTGTGCATCATTGGCTTCTTTTCCAGGCAATGACTTGCTGCTTTGAGAAAATCAGAGGATCATATCCTCTTGAATCATTTTGATAAGACTTCGAATGGATACATGACCAAACCCCAAACCCAAACTAGATCTGATAGAACATCTCTCGAATGCTTCCGTTCCCTTCCTATTCTTTCTTCTGGCTTTCTTTGCTGGTCATGCTGATCATGCTGGTAAAAGATGATTATATCCTTGCGTTCTCCAGTAAAAAATCGTCAATTCATGCAGCATTGCTCCGCCCTTGCCACGCATACGACCTATATAGTCTGAGCGTAAAGTGGAACAGCGACAGTGAGGCTGCAGGCGGAAATGATTGATGTTTGTGGTCAAGGTCGTAGGAATGATTTGCTCACAAGTAAAAGAGAAACGCTGGGCGTTGATATTAAGAATCAAGCTAAGACAAGTCAGGTATAATTCGATGATCCCAAACTATCAATTGACTTCATAATTCACCGTAATAATAATAATTTGCTGGCAAATTCTCATCCACACATTCTAATTGGTTCATCCAATCGATATTAATCTTGAAATTGCAAACAGGAAAGACTCATATCTTTCCCCACAGCCTCACTACGCAAGCTGCATATCTTACTCACTTACGGAATACTCATTATTCTTGCTTATCATTTGCATATCCCGTCCCTCATATATTTTTCAATGCTTTGATGATAATATGTATGCACAAAGATGGATAAAGCCGGCAGTAGTAACTGGGCCAAGAGGGAACGAGATGGGCGAGATGCCAAAGTAGAGGGCTGGACATCTCCGAATATCCAGTCATCCCATACTCGTACTCATCGCCCTCTGAAAAGTATCATGCCTTCCCGATGAAAATCCGCCTTAGCCAAACGCCCTGAGATTTGATCTCACCCAATGACTGAACCCGTTACCCAGCCAGACCTTTGCTTCTATTCGTACAGGACCCGACATGCTACATACGGCAGGTTGTATCTAGACCAATAGCTGCTACAGAATACCATGCACAGATAATTCCAATAGAAATAGAAGAATCGAGCCCTTACACTCTGATTGCACAGAATAACACCTCTTACCGCCAACACCGCCATTTTTCACCCGAGAAAATGATATTGAAGTTTTACACCTGGTCATAGTCATATTTACCCGTTACCCATTCTCCTTGTACTGAGTAATATCGAACAGATGGTCCTGGCAAACCTACAAGCAGCTGGGCACCGTTTAACCTTCACCAACCCCTGAAACACACCGCTGCCCAGTGCCCAGTGCCAATGTCCACCCCAAACATTGCAACTCCCGAACACTGCAAGTAAATGAATAAAATTACCTCGAAACCAAAATCTCCTTCGTTATTGGTTTGATATACCAATATCCCATATTCCCAACAAACAATAACAACATTTCCTCATTTATACCAGCACCCGAGCTACAAATCTCAAGCAGGAAGGATTTGGATCTGATATGCTTGAGATCCTAGATAGAATTCAATAGATTGGTTTACTACTCCATACAAAATAATATGCGGTCTATGGGTCTTTGGTCGCAAGCCGTTGTGTATCCGTAATGACATTCTGAATCCCTTCAATACCCACACCCCTACAGGTAACGCTGTACAGCCCCGAGGTCTTTTCAATTCCGGCTCCATGTAACGGAATTAGATGACAAGGCAGGAAAACAGGCAATTACTCTCGCACTTCTGTGTGTGGTTACAATGCATACCCTCAAACCTAAGCAGCTATCATCCAACAACCAATCAAAGTACTGGGAGGAGAAGATGATGGTGTGGTGTAATAAGGTATAGGCAGAATCCGCCGGGTTTTTCTCCAGTTCCCTTCAAAATCTCGAGGTTACCTTGATACTATACCTTGATTATACAGCACAATGCGGAGATAGTTCGCCGTCGTCTCACGGTCTAAAGAAATGAAGGCGGTTATCAAGCTGATTTGATTGTCATGATCATGAGATGTACGACGATGTTGATCTTGATGAGTTCATCCTTAGCTACCTTAGCTAAGTCCTGTCCTGTCATTCCTGTCTAATCCGTCCCTCAGGGATTCCTTCGTCTAGTCCTGCTATTCCTTTTCGTTCCTACCAAACTCTAATAATGTACACAAACCGGACTCCCGCATCCCAGCCTCATTCCTTCCCGTCGAACAGACACACTCGGGTCCACCAAAGTTGAGATATGACAGTCCCTTCGAGGAGCACCCGGATGTAATCAATCGAATGAATATCCATAGCATAGAGTACCATTTCAGTGGCACAACCCCAGCCAAGTGAACCCCATCATAAACATTTGCTGAGCCATACTACCCTTCAATATTCAAGTAGAGACTTCGAAGATGATGTACGTGAAGTCGGGAATACCGATTCATACATTCTGTCCGGTGTGACCGTTGGATGTGGAGGAGTCAAAACCCATATTCGTCGGCTACTATCGGTATCCATGCTTGATGCGGAAGGTTAGTTCTAAAATGTACTGAAATTTTAGGTTTTCTAATCAATACATGTAATCAATGCCAACCAATAATCACCAAGCAATTAACTCCATCCTCATTCTTTTCTATGTACAGAAATGCCGATATTTGAGAAGTTCTCGGAGAGTTACAGTCACAAATTATGCATGCTTGGACCCCTCTCATTCTCCCAGTGCAACCTCAACCCACCCAACATCAACAACCAAGCCCAAAACAAGACATATCCTAACCGCCAAGTGAGACGGTTGAATGCAAATCTTCGATATCTACGAGTACCAAGAACTAACTGCTCAATGCACGTCATGATCAGATCTGTGCAGTGTACTATTCTCAGCACATACCCGCACAGAACAAAGAAGTGGTCCTCTGAAAATCCTATCCCAACCGTGAGAACAGACCAGCCGCTGTCAAGACCGCCTGCTCGCATGGGCGAAGCGCTAAGAAAAACAAGCTCTTCCGGGCTTTCCATCCATAATCAATTCAATGCATCATCCTCAATTTTTCGAGGTCTCTGGTCACACGTGTGGGGAATCCATGCCCATGGTGTTGTATCGAAAGCAAGCAAGTCATCTCTTTTGCATCTGCTTCATGTATCTTCGTATCTGTATGTAACATCATTCCTTTTTCTGGTTATATCCTTTCCATGGGCGGGTATCAGATGCGTGCATTGAACTCTACCAAATATGTTGGTACGACCCCACGATGATTAGATTCAGATCCATGAAAAACTCGCCACATGATATGAGAAGTTTCTATGTCTATTTCAAAATACTTCAAATATACATACAAACAGTACCTATTTACGATTCACATGATTCAGATTCAGATAACATAACTTTTGGCCCCAAAAGGGCTTATCTTATCTCTCGAGGTTGCATTGAAAGCTGCAGCAAGTGCTATTGCTGTGCCGTATCGGAAGGATTCCTTTCCGTTATATATGGCTGTTATATTTAGAGTTTTTCGTTATAGATACAATAAAGTCACATCATGTTCGATCTATTGATAACTCGGAATGGAGACATCCCGCGGAAGAATTGTGTTGGTGGGATGAGAATAGCTCTTTAATTCAATTAGTGAGGAATTCGGTGTTCAAGGACAAGTCTCAAGCGACAACATTCCGAATTGCATGGATAGCCCCTATATTTGGGTTCTGTGCGGCATCTGCTTTTATTGAGTCTGGTTCAGAAAATGCCCGGATTCATCACCAACATGGGACGGGGTCCATTGCGTGGATGAAATGCGACGGGAATTCATACAGCTACCGAAACTAGTCTCTCGATAATATCACAGCTAAATCTGGAGAATATCGGGTGAAAATGCCCCAGTAATGATGATGTCTTTGTGGTGAATCTATTGTTGGAAGGATGGATCAAAAGGTCGATTTTACGGTATGCAAGAAAGTGACTGTCTAAACGGTTCATTTCTCGATACCACTATTTTGAAAAGACGAAAGAACATTAGACGAGTATTAGCTATCGTGTCACTCCTCAGACCTCCCATTGTAGAAAGTTCCCATCTATACATGTTCTATTGTAAGCACAATTTAGTTATCAACAAGTTATTGCACAACATCTAATCGACGGCCAAAGTAGGCGAGGTTCCTCTAGTCCATCTGGGTCGTTTCTTTTTTTTAATTCTATAATTATTCCGTGAACTTCTCTTTCTACACAGCGTAGCTTCAAAGATTCTCACGAAATTCTTGAGCTCACAGCACTATTTCGAGTTGAATATGGGATGTTGGCTTCAGAATATTCACTAGTCTGGGCTGGAATTCAATTAGGCGAGGGCGCTTCGGTTAATTATAGTCTTAGCTTGGACAATTGTGAAGTAGACTGAATTAATCTAGAAAATTCAAGTCATCTGAAAATTCCAGTCTAGATGAATGAATTTTGAAGCTATATAAATT